ACTGAGGCTTCCCCCTAGTCGCAGTGTAATGTTGGTGATAGCGACACAGACTCAGCTCTCCTTAACTCTTCTCCTGCCACACCACAGTACAGATCTGGCTCTGAAGACATTTGCAACTTGTTCTGCAAGAACTAAACTTATTTATGTTACGACTTTGTTCATGAAGAGAGCGTGGCTCCACTCTGTTTGGAGTATAAAATACTGGTGTGTTCACCTATTTGTTACTTTTTGTAATTTATTGGATATTCCAGTTTCAGTCCCAGCAGAGTAGTATCTTAATCCACTTATCAAAACACAGTGTATTGAATATATTGCTTGTCAAGACAGGCATGCAAAGGCATTATTGCTGTTTCAAAATCACCCGCACATTATCAAGGTGTCCACACATCTGGTTTACTTGATACAGCGGGCTGATACAGTGGGCTAACGTTTCCTCATGTGAAGATCAGTATGCCTTGTTGCTGAACTGAGGGTAGCACAAACCAGTCTGCATCTGCATTACAGCACTGTATAAAGTTGTTTGGTCAGAGAAGCCTCGTTATTGTTCCAGCACCTTGGGCAGACCCTAAACGACCCCGGGTTACATACAACAACAGGGCTCCAGGCTTCATGGCTATGTGTGTGATAACAGATACCTATCTCCCTGGTGTAATAAGTTGTCATACTTTGACGGCTAGCTTGGAGTCAGGCTACCAGTGCTATAGGAGACTCCTAGTCCGGTGTCTGTGTCAGTCTAGGTCGCATTATCACTATTTGATTGATATTCATCATGAAACTGGATTAACAGACACAAAACATAGTGTTCGACAACCTTTATCAAGCTGAGTCCTACTATCAGTCTGTGGAGGTAGTGCAGGAGTAGAGCGGCCCTACTAAGGGTTAATCCATCTTGAGTTGGATCACTGATGCCAGCAGTGTGCTGGTGAGCTGCAGCACAGACTCGCTGACACTCGGTCGGGCTCCACAGCAAAGTAAGGCATACTAACTGCACTTCATTTCAGACACTGTGTTTAAAGTTGTTTGAATGTTTTTGTAACAGTTGTTTGTAACAGTAGTAGTGAGTGACAGTGACATGCCATACCAATATATACAGCTCTAGGTGTCAGTACAAACATTTCTCCGTGGTGTACAACTTCTGATGGTTATTTAACTCTTGAGGCCTGAAGGTAGGTGAGACAGAGTTTTACCAACTTGGCCAGAATGGTACTGTGGAAAAATCTTCTGCTGTATGCACATGTTCATTATGCCGATTCTGAATGCTGACTGGTCTTGGAATCAAGCTAAGACCTCCTTTCAAACACACGTAGTAGTAGTAGTAGTAGTAATATAGTAGTAGTAGTAGTAGTAGTAGTAGTAGTAGTAGTAGTAGTGGTGGTGGTTGTGGTTGTGGTTGTAGTCGTGGTTGTAGTTTAAGTCGAAGTATACATATAAATCTCAGTTGTATACAGTTAACTAGGAAAGGTTCAAGCACATGTTGGTGTGGTGTCCTACAAGACACCATGCTTTTCACCGTATGACCTCCCTTCAAGCACATGTTGGTGTGGTGTCCTGTGACACAATATGTTAATCACAGTATGAACTCCCTTCAAGCACATGTTGGTGTGGTGTCCTGTGACACAATATGCTAATCACAGTATGACCTCCCTTCAAGCACATGTTGGTGTGGTGTCCTGAGACACAATATGCTAATCACAGTATGACCTCCCTTCAAGCACATGTTGATGTGGTGTCCTGTGAAACAATAAGCTAATCACAGTATGACCTCCCTTTAAGCACATGTTGATGTGGTGTCCTGTGACACAATAAGCTAATCACAGTATGACCTCCCTTCAAGCACATGTTGGTGTGGTGTCCTGTGACACAATAAGCTAATCACATAGTATGAACTCCCTTCAAGCACATGTTTGTGTGGTGTCCTGTGACACAATAAGCTAATCACAGTATGACCTCCCTTCAAGCACATGTTGGTGTGGTGTCCTGTGACACAATAAGCTAATCACAGTATGACCTCCCTTCAAGCACATGTTGGTGTGGTGTCCTGTGACACAATAAGCTAATCACAGTATGACCTCCCTTCAAGCACATGTTGGTGTGGTGTCCTGTGACACAATATGCTAATCACAGTATGACCTCCCTTCAAGCACATGTTGGTGTGGTGTCCTGTGACACAATAAGCTAATCACAGTATGACCTCCCTTCAAGCACATGTTGGTGTGGTGTCCTGTGACACAATATGCTAATCACAGTATGACCTCCCTTCAAGCACATGTTGGTGTGGTGTCCTGTGACACAATATGCTAATCACAGTATGACCTCCCTTCAAGCACATGTTGGTGTGGTGTCCTGGTGACACAATATGCTAATCACAGTATGACCTCCCTTCAAGCACATGTTGGTGTGGTGTCCTGTGACACAATATGCTAATCACAGTATGAACTCCCTTCAAGCACATGTTGGTGTGGTGTCCTGTGACACAATATGCTAATCACAGTATGATCTCCCTTCAAGCACATGTTGGTGTGGTGTCCTGTGACACAATATGCTAATCACAGTATGAACTCCCTTCAAGCACATGTTGGTGTGGTGTCCTGTGACACAATATGCTAATCATAGTATGACCTCCCTTCAAGCCATGGTCGACATGGTCTATTATCCCTCAGTCTACATGGTCTACAATCCCTCAGTCTGCATGGTGTACAATCCCTCAGTCGACATGGTCTACAATCCCTCAGTCGACATGGTCTACAATCCCTCAGTCGACATGGTCTACAATCCCTCAGTCTGCATGGTCTACAATCCCTCAGTCAACATGGTCTATAATCCCTCAGTCGACATTGTTTACAATCCCTCAGTCGACATGGTCTATAATCCCTCAGTCTGCATGGTCTATAATCCCTCAGTCGACATGGTCTACAATCCCTCAGTCTGCATGGTCTATAATCCCTCAGTCTGCATGGTCTATAATCCCTCAGTCGACATGGTCTATAATCCTTTAGTCTGCATGGTCTACAATCCCTCAGTCGACATGGTCTACAATCCCTCAGTCGCTATAATCCCTCAGTCGACATGGTCTATAATCCCTCAGTCGACATGGTCTACAATCCCTCAGTCGACATGGTCTATAATCCCTCAGTCGACATGGTCTATAATCCCTCAGTCGACATGGTCTATAATCCCTCAGTCCACATGGTCTATAATCCCTCAGTCGACATAGTCTATAATCCCTCAGTCGACATGGTCTACAATCCCTCAGTCGACATGGTCTATAATCCCTCAGTCGACATGGTCTACAATCCCTCAGTCGACATGGTCTATAATCCCTCAGTCCACATGGTCTACAATCCCTCAGTCGACATGGTCTATAATCCCTCAGTCTGCATGGTCTACAATCCCTCAGTCGACATGGTCTACAATCCCTCAGTCGACATGGTCTACAATCCCTCAGTCGACATGGTCTATAATCCCTCAGTCGACATGGTCTACAATCCCTCAGTCTGCATGGTCTACAATCCCTCAGTCGACATGGTCTACAATCCCTCAGTCGACATGGTCTATAATCCCTCAGTCTGCATGGTCTACAATCCCTCAGTCGACATGGTCTATAATGCTTCAGTCTGCATGGTCTACAATCCCTCAGTCGACATGGTCTACAATCCCTCAGTCGACATGGTCTATAATCCCTCAGTCGACATGGTCTACAATCCCTCAGTCGACATGGTCTATAATCCCTCAGTCTGCATGGTCTATAATCCCTCAGTCCACATGGTCTATAATCCCTCAGTCGACATGGTCTATAATCCCTCAGTCGACATGGTCTATAATCCCTCAGTCGACATGGTCTACAATCCCTCAGTCTGCATGGTCTATAATCCCTCAGTCGACATGGTCTACAATCCCTCAGTCGACATGGTCTACAATCCCTCAGTCTGCATGGTCTACAATCCCTCAGTCGACATGGTCTATAATGCTTCAGTCTGCATGGTCTACAGGCCCTCAGTCGACATGGTCTACAACCCCTCAGTCGACATGGTCTACAATCCCTCAGTCGACATGGTCTATAATCCCTCAGTCAACATGGTCTATAATCCCTCAGTCGACATGGTCTACAATCCCTCAGTCTGCATGGTCTACAATCCCTCAGTCGACATGGTCTATAATCCCTCAGTCGACATGGTCTATAATCCCTCAACCGGCATGGTCTACAATCCCTCAGTCTGCATGGTCTATAATCCCTCAGTCAACATGGTCTATAATCCCTCAGTCGACTTGGTCTATAATCCTTCAGTCTGCATGGTCTATAATCCCTCAGTCTGCATGGTCTACAATCCCTCAGTCGACATGGTCTATAATCCCTCAGTCGACATGGTCTACAATCCCTCAGTCGACATGGTCTATAATCCTCAGTCTACATGGTCTATAATCCCTCAGTCTACATGGTCTACAATCCCTCAGTCAGCATGGTCTATAATCCCTCAGTCTATAAGTCCTTATATATAATCTATTTATATACCAAACTGCTGACTCTCTCCCCACCCACCCCAGATGACCCCTACCTCCCCAGGACAAAATGGGTGACCCACCTCAAAATCATCATCCCCCCCCAGTCATAAATTCTTTATGGACCCTAAACATCGATTGATCTGACAGTCAGCTGTCTAAGTGACAGTAGTCACCATCCACATTCTTGGTTTCGACACAATGGGTGAAGACATATGCTGAGTGAGTGATTCCATGTGTGACATATTTATTAAAGTGGGTGACACCAACATACATCCCGGTCCCAGTGAGTGAGTGAGGGTACATGCTACTTTCAGAAACATTCCTGAAATATGAGAGAAGGGGGAGACAATAAGCTTCACACATGGTAACACTTTGGTGAATGACAAAGATGCCTCCACTGTGACATGTCAATGCTCCCAACACAAGGCTACCCGACCTCCTCAATGTAATGTAGCAGTGGAATTCTGGCTTTGTTCCACACTTATTGTTGTCTGTTTCAGGATGAGAGTTGGTGACATCATTGTCGTGGGTTTGGCACTGTTCCTCCTGGCTCCAAACACTGAAGGATGCTCCCTCCACACCCAGAGCGGATGTACTTGCACTTCACAGGCCACTATCATCAAAATCCTATGTCATCCATTTGACCCATCTCAACCAATAATTACATCCAACACTACCAAGGTCAATCTTCAGTTCCTTGACTTATCAAACAATAACCTCACTGAGTTGCCTGAAAACCTCTTTGACTATATTCTCAGTGTTGATCAAGTGGATCTTCAACATAACCAGTTTGAAATATTTCCTGCATTCCTCACCACCAAGAATATCACAGTCCTGACCTTGTCTCATAACCTTCTCAATACCCTGGACTCCAACGCTCTCAATGAGAGGTCCACGGTCAGAACTCTAGACGTGTCCAATAATGAAATCAGCAGCTTCCACGTGTCTGAGAACCACACCCTTCAGTTGGACATGCTGAATCTGGCCTACAATAGAATCTCTAATGTTCCAGATGCAATATGGAAGGCTGCAGACAGTCTGAACTTGTCTTACAATAATATTTCCCGACTGCCTAAGATCATTGGGTCCCGTCTGAAATATCTGATCCTGGAGGGAAACCAACTGCAGGAGATTGGGCCCAACACCTTCAGTGAGCTGCAGTACCTGGATGAGTTGTACTTGGGCAACAACCGCCTGATGAATCTCAGTGCCAGTAGCTTCGATGGTGCTTGGTCTTTGACAGAAATCAGCCTCAAGGAGAATTCACTTGAAACCATTGATGGAGGAATCTTTAAGAAGCTTCAAAACTTGCTCAATCTCAATCTTGCAAGAAACAAAATTAAAGAAATTCCAAAAGGAAGTTTTAATGGACTTGAGGAAAGCATTCACAGATTGTCACTTGGGCAGAACAAGATATCACACATAGCACCAAATGCATTTGCAAGTTTGGAAAATCTGCGCTTCCTTGATCTGTCTGACAACCCATCACTTGGAGACATTACCCAGGTTCAGTATCCCCCTCACATCATCTCCCTGGACCTGAGCAACTGCAGTCTGCAGACGATACCTGACTGCATGTTCCCACTGTACATGGACCTGCAGTATCTGGGACTGTCCCACAACAACCTCACCTGCAACTGTCACCTCTCATGGCTGTACAGCTGGCAGACCAGTACTCGCAAATACACCGCAGCCAACTTCACACTTCCAAACTGGAAATGCTTTGATTACCAACGTCAGCTTCAGCCAGTGTCGGCGAAGGTTCCATGTGGGAACATGACACAGCACTTACAGCACTGCCACCAGAAACCTGCACGTCTCATCAACCCCGACACTATCAGCCTGGCGATATCAATCAAGGCTGTGGAGGACAGCATAACTGTCACCTGGACACTGAAATCAAAGGATAAAATCCACGGACTTCTTGTGACGTACGTGACCAAAGATGCTACCATATTTGAATCCCCCATCTTGAACCCCAACACCAGCACATACGTGATCCGGGACATGAAAGTGGTGGGCTCCTACAGAGTGTGTGTGCACACCTTACTGAATGCTACGTATACTATCAAGAAGGCCTGTGAGACTGAAGATGCCAGCTTGATCCAAATGCTGGTGGGAATACTGGCAGGGACTGTGTTCTTGATTCCGTGTGTGGCAGCAATGGTTTACATCCTGTACAAAGACCACCACGTGATGAAAGCTTATGAACATCTCGAGGGACTAGAAGATATAGTCATCACTGAAGGTCACATAGAGGTCAAATGTAGCAATATGTCCAAAGATGTTTCCAAGAAGCAGGACCAGTCGGCTGAGGGTGAGGGTGACGTATTGTGCAGCAACGGCTGAGGGTGAGGCATATCGTGCAGCAACGGCTGAGGGTGAGGCATATCGTGCAGCAACGGCAGACGGTGAGGCATATCGTGCAGCAACGGCTGACGGTGAGGCATATCGTGCAGCAACGGCTGAGGGTGAGGCGTATAGTGCAGCAATGGTATCTGGAACAACAGGAGATGCTGATACTCACATCCCCTCCCGGACTCCAGGAGCTTCAAAATGTAATCTCACTTTTCTGGCAGATTGTGGGAAAATACACAGTCGCAGTGAGAAGTGTACGGAGTGTATGAGCAGCCATGAACAAGAAACATTCAACACAAAGCTGTAACTAAGACAAGACTTACATGCTGTGTTATTGATTCCCTGTACCCTGTGTTACTGAGCACTTGTCACTGTACTATATCATCACTGTACTGTATAATATCTCGTATAGTCAATGTATACACTGTCCTGTATTATCAGAATCTGGTATAACTGTTTTTATTACCCACGTGGTCAACGTATGGGTAGTTGCATACTAATCTCGTACGTCACACGAGTGTCGTATCGTGTTGAGCTGTGTCGTAACGACTTCACCTGAGATTCTAACCATTTGATTGGATAACCGATGACCTCTCAATTAGGTCACATTCTGACGTAACTATTTTTTCATTCATAACAAACACGTGAATCCATTCATTCTACAACTTAAATGCATTGTGGGAATGTAAACATCGCGAACGTTGCCGTGTCGCTGTTTAATTGTGAGTCGAACTGAGACATTATATCCGTCGAAAAACGTAAACGCAATGTTTCCACCAGTGATGTGAGCCGAAAGTGAAGCAGCTGCAAACCAAGAAACGGGTGCTACGGAGTAGTTTACTGTAGGAGGCTGCACGAGGCGATGACAACTGACATGCATCGTGATCGCCGGTTACCAAGGCAGTGACGTCATTACAGTGACGCCATGCAAATATTGTACTACAGTACAAAACTCTTCCGCAACCTCTTTATGAAACAGGTTTCGGGTTTGAAACCAAAATATTCACAAAAATACGCTATTTTGTCAATTTAATGCATGTAAGACGTGGGTAATAAATAAAATACCACACTCGGTCTCATTACATACGAATTATACGAAACTCGTGACCTTCCTATGTTATCTGACCTCGCTTTCGCTCGGTCAGATACCATAGGAAGGACACTCGTTTCATATAATTCGTATGTAATGAGACCTCGTGTAGTATTCTCTATGTACTTTACTCAGTCAGTGATCCACATTAGTTCCATATCAAATGGCTGTTTAGACAATCTGACTATAACCTTCCAGCAGGGTACACTTGAAAGCAGCACTCCTCCCAAGTTTCACTATGACACAGCAAGATGCCTACAAGGTTTACACAAGGTTTATACAAGGTTTATACAAGGCACTACATGATAATAACCATGAGCACACTTCACACACTGTGGACTTACAGAACTATATATGTGATTCCCATGTTTCAGTGTCTGTAAAATGTACATGTATATTTGTTAATAACAAGCACAATTTCTTAATAAACAGAAAACCATTTTATGTATTGGCCTGTGTAACCGTTAAGGTAAGTGAAGACACTACCGGTACCAAGTATCCATCAAATACCTGTATGAATTAGCTGCAGAAGACCAACAAGTGTGATGTAATGTTAGTAGATTCATTACAAGGTACCCATCGAACACCCATCATATTTGTCTAAAAGCTGGTAAAGACAACACCATCAACAAAACACTAATCCACCTACCAGGATCTCGGCACTGCACTCCATCTCCAGGGAGACGATGACCATCTTGGAGAGGGCGGGGTCCAGGGGAACTCCACCATGCTGAGCCCCATGGGTGTGAGTGCACCCGTGTTGTCCAGGGCACCGAGAATCCACAGCTGGTACATCGAGTTCAAGATGTTGTCCTGAAAATCAGGAACAATTACGTTATATTTTTTGTTAATTTGTCTTCTGTATTTTCCATGTTACAGCTATACATGATGAAAAGCAAAACAGAACCACACTGGTCCCTAGCTCTCCTGGAGGGACAGTAATGTGTGACATATTCTTCTGTACTTGTCACACTACTTGTGTTGCCTGTTCAACACTTGCAAAACATTATTCCAAACATGAATGACAGATTCGTTTTGCATGCATCTTCTGACATTTAAACTAAACTGTGAACAACAATCAACTGATATATTTATCAAACATGAATGACAGATTCGTTTCGCATGTATCTTCTGACATTTAAACTAAACTGTGAACAACAATCAACTGATATATTTATCAAACATGAATGACAGATTTGTTTCGCATGTATCTTCTGACATTTAAACTAAACTGTGAACAACAATCAACTGATATATTTATCAAACATGAAACAAAATTTAACCAAACCTGAAGAGGTTTTAAATTCTTCGAAGAGAGTCGTCCTTGGGGTACATATTATGCATTTTCCGAGCTGAAAATGTCCTTTGACAGTTGTATCAATGTTTTTTGAATAAAAAGATTGTACAATAAATAAACTCTTTTATTTACTATACGGCCCCCACCTCACAGAGTTACCTCCCGTTGCGCATGCGCACCAACTGGGTAATCACCTAGGCCCGTATCATCATTCCTTCTGCTGAATACATCAGTGAACAGAATTGCGGGGAGGCGGGAGGCCCTACCCAAGGGATCGACTCTCTTCGAAGAATTTAAAACCTCTTCAGGTTTGGTTAATTCTTCTTCATAGAGATCGTCCTTGGGGTACATATTATGCATAAACACAGACTCCCAAAGACCGGAGGCCAGGGAGGAGGGAATTCTGTCCAAGCACACACAAATAGCTATCGTTAATGGGAAAAAATTTAACAGACGCCATAACACTCACCTGTCACATGTCCCAGTTGCGCTTCCGCGAGAGGCATTATGGGAGGGGAACTGACAGGAAGGATTTGTGCTCAAAGACGACCTCCATATGTTAGCATAGGCAATCGCACATGGTACAAATGTAAACAAAGCCCCACCCACCACATGTCGATTAGTGAGCACCGTAGGGGGGAATGTCAAAAACCGCTCACAACCGACCTATTACTCCGTAGAGAGACGAAATGTGGGTAGTTAGCTCCCAGTAGCAGACATGTCAATAATACACAGTATTGTACAGTAGCGTCAAACTAAACCAATGAACCAAGACTCACTTGGTCAGGGTGGCAGGACACTGTCCACTGGAGAGAACAGAATGGCCAAAGCTCGCACGATCACGGGAATGTGTATCGAGCTGATAATGCCGAATAAATGTGCTAGGCCGGCTCCAAATAGTGGCAGAGCAGATCTCTTCAATGGGGAGTGCCGATGCAAAAGCTTTTGATGCGGCTACTGCCCTGACCGAGTGAGCCTTCAACCCCTCAGGGGAGGCTTGCCCTTAGCCTGATAAGCGCACAAATAAATACATCGAAACTAGCCAGCGAGACAAAGTCTGCTTGCTCGCTGGCACACCAGCCTTTCCGCCACCGTAACAACAGAACAGCTGGGTACCCGTACGGATTCCCTGCGTTCGTTTGATATAGACTTTGAGGGTCTTACGGACATCCAACGGGTGAGTGCTCGTTGCAGAGGTCCCTGATGTGGAAGGCTGGGTAAGAGTGGGAAGTTCAATAGGAGCTGTCACATGGAAAGCGTGATCGACCTTCGGGCGGTACGTATCCGGGAGGCGAATACTGACACGATCAGTGTGAAACACAGTCAGCGCCAGGACATAGCATGTAAATCGCCGACCCTACGCCGACGTTACCGCCACCAGAAAAACAGCCTTCCAAGTTAACAACTGAATGGAAATAGCCGATAGGTGTGAGAAAGTTGGACCGGACAGCCAATCGAGCACAATTGACAAATCCCAAGGTGGGCTGGTTCGGCCTGACAGCAGGTCGAACCCGCTCTGCCCCAGCGAAAGCTGAGCCGCCAGACGAGAGGGTGCTGCCCCAGAAGAGCACCATCGACAGGTGTGAAAAGTGGAAATAGCGGTGGAGTAGTCGCGAATGGTCGGTCACCAGGCCTTCTTCCAAACGGGCTTGCAAAACTCCAATACTCGGACTAAATCCGCAGAGAAAAGGGATCTGCAATGCCCCTATCTGAACACCAGCGCCTGCATAGCGGGACCACCTATCCTCATACTGAACGCTTGTCGAATCCTCACCGAAGCCAGAATTGTGTCTGCAACTGCTGCAGGAATTCGCGTGCCTCGAGGCTAGACCTGGCAGAGGCCAAGCCACCCACTGAATCCATGGATTTGGGTGGGCCCGCTCTGGAGTGAGAATGTCCGGTCAGAAGGTAATAGAACAGGAGGCTGAGCCAGAAACCTGAGAATTACCGGAAACCAGCTCTGTGACGGCCAAAGCGGTGCCAGTAGCACAAGCAGCCGAGCTGGCTGGGTGGACAGCTGTGAAAGGACACGGGAATGAGTGGTAACGGCGGAACGCCCAGAGCACTTTGCCCGTCCAATCCAGCAGGAAGAAGGCCGCAGCCAACGCCTCTGGGTCCGTATTCGAGAGCAGAACAAGGGTGTCTGATTCGCCCCACCGGACGCAAACAGATCCACCTGGAACTAATCGCATAACTGGGGGAGATTACTCTGAAAATCTGCCTGTCGAGCATCCACTTCGATCGCGGGGCCAGGATCCGGCGAGAGAGCTGCCTGCTCGCGACGCGCTCTCCAGCCCGGGGAGATAAACAGGGAGTACCTGACAATCGCGACTGGTCGCACCAGAGGAGAAAGTCCCACGCCTCCGGAGGAGCGCTGGGGACACCGTGCCGCCCTGCTTCAGGATGTACGACATGGCCGTCTGGTTGTCCAACTGAAGACGGACTACCTGGCAACGGACATGCTCTCTGAAGCGCTCGAAAACCAACCGCACAGCTCTCAGTTCCAACACGTTGATGTGAAGGTGGGCTTCGGCTTCGGACCAGAGTCCGGACACCGACAGACTGCCCAGAACACCCCCCCAGCCCGTGAGGGACGCATCGGTCTGAACTGTGAGAGCTGGCGTCGGGATTTCCAAGGGGATCCCCCTGGTGAGATTCCCGACATTGGTCCACCACTGAAGGTGAGGTGTCAACCACCCGGGGACTGTGAGACTGCGCTCCAGGTCCTCCGTGTGAGCCCACAGCCGTGCCAAAGCTTGCTGTATAGGGCGCATCCTCAACCGCGCCCGCCACACTACAGAGATCGTCGCCGCCATATGGCCCAGTAGACGGAGCCAAGTCCGTGCTGGTGCCTGGGGCTGGGAGAGGAACGAAGAAACCATCTCCCGAACTCTGGTGATCCGGTCGGGCGACAAGGAAACGAGATCCTTGTTTGTTTGGAATCACGCCCCAAGAAAAACCAAGTCCTGGGTGGGTACCAGGTCAGATTTCTTGAGGTTGATTATCCACCCCAGTCGAATTAGAATGTCTATCACTGTGTGAGTAGCATCTAGACTCGCTGGCTGTGTTAGTGCTCCGAGCAACCAGTCGTCGAGGTAAGGGTAACAACGCCTTCCTTGCGAGCGAGCAAGGGTAGCCGGGACCAACATGAGCTTGGTGAACACCCTTGGGGCAGTCGATATGCCGAAGGGGAGCACCCTGAATTGGTAACACATCCCGTCGTAAGAGAACCGAAGGTACTGCTTGAACGATGGATGTATGGGCACATGCAGATACGCATCCTTTAGGTCGATTGACGTGAGCCAATCGCCGGGCTGAACAGATGAGATCACCGAGTGCAGTGTCTCCATCTTGAAGGATGGTACTTCTAGCATGCGGTTCAACCCCTTGAGGTTGAGAATGGGACGGAACCCGCCGTCTTTCTTCGGGACGAGGAAGTACCACGTGGAGTAAAATCCCGCCTGTTCCTCTCCCGGTGGAATGCGCTCGATTGCGGACTTGTCCAGCAAAGCCTGAACTTCGTCGCGCAATATGTCCGGCCTTGCCTGACATGACGGCACCTGAGTGCGGCGTATGCCGGTGAAGTCGGGCGGACCTCGCTTCCACAGTGGTAACACTGATGGTGGACAGCACCCAAGTGTTTTGTGTAGCCTTCTCCCATTCCGGCAGGAATAGAGAGAGGCGGCCTCCCACTGGGACGTCGGGTAAGAGCGCGTGCGTCGTCCCGAGAAGCGGAGCTGACTGGGCGTGACACACGGCTTGAACGACAGCCTGATGGGTTAACGGGAGGTCGGGGCAGACCTCCCGGGCCCGCGAAAAGGCTGGGAGACAGTCGAGGACTGCTCCTTGCCCTTACCCTTGGCGGACCTGTGCCTCCGCTTACCCCTGCCAAGCGGCCGAAGCCAGCCAGCGGACTCGGGTGTAGGCTGCACCCCAGCGGAGGAAGGTGGAACGGGAGCGCGGGGGCGAGACACCCGCGGGTGCTCCAACAAGGCCTTAGAGTCCTTGAAGGAGGTAGCTGCAGCGGCAGCCTCCCGTATGACCTGCTGTGCCCCTGGAAAGAGGGTCGCTCCCAGACGGAAGGGGAGGGCCAGCAAGGTCTGCTGTGTCGCTGCCGAGTAACGAGACGTCGACAGCCACAGCTTGCGCATCCCCATGACTGCGCACATCACCGTCGACGCAGCGGACCGCAAAGAGTCGCGCGCGAGGTGGGCCTGTACTTCAGATAGCTGACGGAGCAGCACGACATGCGGCGAAACGTCACCAGCATGCCCCTCCGCCTCCAGGGCCGACCTCTGTATCGAGGAGAGGTAGGCCTCATGGACCACCACCCTGACCTGCTGCATAGCGTTCCTGTAAACCTCCTCGTAGGTACGGTACGCATGCCGCAGGGGGGCGCCCGCGAGGGCAAACGGTGGAGTAACACGCCCTTGCCGAGCAGCCGGAGCTGCTCCAGAGGAAGCCGAGCCTCCCCCCAAGGCGACTGAAGTAAAAACACACTCGTCCACGATAGGTACCACGAACAGGGAATCCTCCCCAAGCTGGTATCTCCTGACAAGCTCCGGCAAGTCAAATCGGAGACGGAGACCAGACAAGAGAGGATCCACCACGTCCTGTACTAACGAGGGCAGAATGCGGAGCTGCGTCTGCGTAGGCTGCCTAGGGGCAAACGCCTCGCCTGGCAAGCGGAACTCAGCCGTGTCCGAGCTGCTAACAGGCACCGCGGCCTGGGGTAGGTACTCGGCAATCCTTTGCCGGACCTCCCGCAGAGCCGAAGAGAAACGGAAGGCACCCTCCTGCTCCTCGACCTCCCCAGTATCCATCGACTCAGCGCCCGAGCCCGAGTCTGAGGCTGGGTCTCCTCGCGAAGAGGACCCGAACCCCGACCCGGTGGGCTGCCTAGCACTAGGAACAACAGAGAGGGAAGAGCAGACAGAGTGCCCCGCGTCAGTGCCTGCAGGCGTGCACGGACCCCGGTCCCGAGACGCTGGAGGCATACCAGGCAGAACTGGTGCCTCCGCTCTCATGGGGCGGGAGGGCGCAGGGATCGGAACCCCAGGAATCATCAACGGTCCCTGCGCCAACTCCGAGAGGGGGACTGGGAGCACCTCCCTCTCCGGGGCAGCCGAGGCGTCCGGACCCGAAGCCAGAGGCAACGGGTCAACAGACGCCTCAAGGCCTAGGGATCGAGCCGGGCTCGGCGATCCCCCCCCAAGACTCTCCGCCCCATGCTCAGAGTGGGCGAGGAACTCCTGCCGGAGTCCTCCAACCGTCTCATGAACGAGGGACCTCATCGAGTCTGCGTGCTGCTGAAACATCTGAGTGATTAATGTCATGTCAAAACCGCTACCAGGAGCGGGAGCAGGGGACTGGCTACGGGATTTTTTCCCTTTAGACTTTTTAGCCTTAGACGGGGGGACCTGGGTAAGTTCCCCTCCCGCCTCCCGCATCTCTCTATAAAAGAGAGTATCGGCAGCCCTCCGCTTCTGAGCCCGGGGGGAAAACCCCAAACAAATCTCACAGGTTTCGGCCTCATGGCCGGTCTTCTCTAGGCAGACAATACATTTGTCATGCCTGTCGGCCCGTGGAATACTTTGTCCACAGACCGAACAGGAGGAAAACGCCTGAAAGCAAACACGCAAGCATGTAGCTAACGGCGGACCAGCAGCATATATACACGTAGAAAACATTGAAAAATACGTGAAGGCTACCACGGGAAGAAATAGTTGGTTCAATACGCAATATTACAACCACGTGGCACGCTAAACTTCCCGCCATGGCAGAGCAACATGTGCGTAAACCACGGGAAAGTTAGCGTAAAATAATTAATACAAAGTCACAATTATGAAACAACCGACCGCAAAGCTTTACTGTTCCTTTAGCAAAGGTAATAAAGACCATACATACAGGTAGTGTCTCAGACATTATTCTTTTTCGTTCTGAAAAGGTCAGCTCTGCTCGACACATGCGTCTGTTAGGGGCAGTGACAGCAGAAGGAATGATGATACGGGCCTAGGTGCTTACCCAGTTGGTAACTCCGTGAGGTGGGGGCCGTATAGTAAATAAAAGAGTTTATTTATTGTACAATCTTTTTATTCAAAAAACATTGATACAACTGTCACAGGACATTTTCAGCTTGGAAAAAGGATAATATGTACCCCAAGGACGATCTCTATGAAGAAGAATATGCTGTTCTCAGTTGGAGGTTAACATTAATGGTGAGTCTTCATCTTTGGCTCCATCATCCAAGATGCAACACCTTGATATGAAGAGTTAGGTTCCTTAGATCTATCAGGATATGCTGGTGATTGGGGCACATCAGTTTGTATTTACTCCAGTCCTTGACCTGTCAACACCATACACATGCTGGATCTCCTCCTCCATATTACAGTGTCACGATATACATGAACTACTTTATTTATTCACTCCCGCACTGACATAGACATAGATGGTGGAGAGAGAAATTTACCTGTGGGGGAGGATCCATGAAGTGGAACTGCAGCAAGTCTTGCACTCCCAGAGATTTCAGCAGCAACACAACGTTAGCCAGGTTGGTCCGCTGGATTTCCGGAACTGTTGTCTTCAACATCTCATCCTTGTACTGTCGAGCTGTGTACAGCCTGTAGCACTGTCTGAAAACAGAGAAGAATGGGGGTAATCTTGTTGTACGAGAAGAGTGTTGGTAATCTTGTTCTAAAATAGTCAGCCACTGCATGTATACAGAGGAGGGTAAGGGGAGGTTGTTATAGCCACTGCATGTATACAGAGGAGAGTTAGAGGAGGTTGTTCTAGCCACTGCATGTATACAGAGGAGAGTTAGAAGAGGTTGTTCTAGCCACTGCATGTATACAGAGGAGAGTTAGAAGAGGTTGTTCTAGCCACTGCATGTATACAGAGGAGAGTTAGAGGAGGTTGTTCTAGCCACTGCATGTATACAGAGGAGAGTAAGGGGAGGTTGTTCTAGTCACTGCATGTATACAGAGGAGAGTTAGAGGAGGTTGTTCTAGCCACTGCATGTATATAGAGGAGAGTTAGAGGAGGTTGTTCTAGCCACTGCATGTATACAGAGGAGAGTAAGGGGAGGTTGTTCTAGTCACTGCATGTATATAGAGGCGAAGTTAGGGGAGGTTGTTCTAGTCACTGCATGTATACAGAGGAGAGTTAGAGGAGATTGTTCTAGCCACTGCATGTATACAGAGGAGAGTTAGAGGAGATTGTTCTAGTCACTGCATGTATACAGAGGAGAGTAAGAAGAGGTTGTTCTAGCCACTGCATGTATACAGAGGAGAGTTAGGGGAGGTTGTTCTAGTCACTGCATGTATACAGAGGAGAGTAAGGGGAGGTTGTTCTAGTCACTGTATGTATACAGAGGAGAGTTAGAGGAGATTGTTATAGTCACTGCATGTATACAGAGGAGAGTTAGGGGAGGTTGTTATAGCCACTGCATGTATACAGAGGAGAGTTAGAAGAGGTTGTTCTAGCCACTGCATGTATACAGAGGAGAGTTAGAGGAGATTGTTATAGTCACTGCATGTATACAGAGGAGAGTAAGGGGAGGTTGTTCTAGTCACTGCATCTATATACAGAGGAGAGTTAGAACAGGTTGTTCTAGCCACTGCATGTATACAGAGGAGAGTTAGAGGAGGTTGTTCTAGCCACTGCATGTATACAGAGGAGAGTTAGGTGAGGAGAGGAATTGTGAGATGGTTAGCAAGAAGAGTATGAAGACTGTTTAGGTACCCAAGTTATTAAACAATTGAATGGATACCACTAGTTATACTAGGGATCAAATACATGTGAGCCTTTGACTGCCTTCTGCCTATCAAGAACACTTACCCTGGCCCTGTTCTTCCACAAGTCCACATAACAAACAACCATGTACTCCAAGTCCACATAACAAACAACCATGTACTCCAAGTCCACATAACAAACATGTATTCCAAGTCCACATAACAAACAACCATGTACTCCAAGTCCACATAACAAACAACCATGTACTCCAAGTCCACATAACAAACAACCATGTACTCCAAGTCCACATAACAAAACAACTCCATAACATAACAACCAAGTCCACAATCCACAAACAACCATGTACTCCAAGTCCACATAACAAACAACACATTCCAAGTCCAAGTCCAACATGTACCAAGTCCACATAACAAACATGTATTCCAAGTCCACATAACAAACAACCATGTATTCCAAGTCCACATAACAAACAAACATGTATTCCAAGTCCACATAACAAACAACCATGTATTCCAAGTCCACTTAACAAACAAACACGTATTCCAAGTCCACATAACAAAGAAACATGTATTCCAAGTCCATATAACAAACAACCATGTACCCCAAGTCCACATTACAAACAACCATGTACTCCAACTCCACATAACAAACAATAAATACCCTAAATCCACATAAGAAACAAACATGTACCCCAAGTCCACATAACAAACAACCATGTATTCCAAGTCCACATAACAAACAACCATGTACCCTGAGTCCACATAACAAACATGTATTCCAAATCCACATAAAAAACATGTACCCCGAGTCCACATAACAAACATGTATCCCAAGTCAAAATAACAGACAACCATGTACCCAAAATCCACATAAAAAACATGTTTTCCAAATCCACATAACAGACAACCATGTACCCCGAGTCCACTAAACAAACATGTATTCCAAGTCCACATAACAAACATATATTCAAAGTCCAAATAACAGACAACCATGTACCCCAAATCCACATAACAAACATGTATTCCAAGTCCACATAACAAACATGTATTCCAAGTCCACATAACAAACATGTATTCCAAATCCACATAACAGACAACCATGTACCCCAAGTCCACATAACAAACAAACATGTATTCCAAGTCCACATAACAAACAATAAGTCCCCTATGTCCACATAACACAAACAAACATGTATTCCAAGTCCACATAACAGTCCACATAACAAACATGTATTCCAAGTCCACATAATAACAACCACACCCCAAGTCCACATGTATTCCAAGTCCACATAACAAACAAACATGTATTCCAAGTCCATATAACATAACAACCATGTGTCCCAAGTCCACATAACAAACATGTATTCCAATTCCATGTATTCCAAGTCCACATAACAAACAACCATGTATTCCAAGTCCACATAACAAACAACCATGTATTCCCAAGTCCACATAACAGACAACCATGTACCCCGTGTCCACATAACAAACATGTATTCCAAGTCCACATAACAAACATGTATTCCAAGTCCACATAACAAACAAACATGTATTCTAAGTCCACATAACAAACAAACATGTATTCCAAGTCCACATAACACAACATGTACCCCAAGTCCACATAACAAACAACCATGTACTCCAAGTCCACATAACAAACAATATGTACCCCTAAATCCACATAACAAACAAACATGTACCCCAAGTCCACATAACAAACAACCATGTATTCCAAGTCCACATAACAAACAACCATGTACCCTGAGTCCACATAACAAACATGTATTCCAAATCCACATAAAAACATGTACCCCAAGTCCACATAACAAACATGTATTCCAAATCCACATAACAAATCCACAAAACCCAAGTCCACATAACAACAACCATGTATTCCAAAGTCCACAATAAACAAACATGTATTCCTAACATCCACAAACATGTATTCCAAGTCCACATAACAGACAACCATGTACCCCGAGTCCACATAACAAACATATATTCCAAGTCCACATAACAAACATATATTCCAAGTCCAAATAACAGACAACCATGTACCCCAAATCCACATAACAAACATGTATTCCAAGTCCACATAACAACAACCACATGTAAGTCCACATAACAAAACACAACCATGTACTCCTAAGTCCACATAACAAACATGTATTCCAAGTCCACATAACAGACAACCATGTACCCCAAGTCCACATAACAAAAGGTGGTCCAGAAAAAATTGAAAATGATCCAACCCATAGTTTTCAAGTTATTGGTAGAACAAAAATTTCTTTGGATAGACAGACAGATAGACAGATGGATGGCATGAGAGCTGGATGGATTATTTCTTGGTATACCTATAACACAGCTCAATAACAAAGGCACACACTTCTAGAGAAATTCCCAATATCTTATTGAAGACTTATCTTGGGACCTTGACCTTGAGCCTTCAAGTGACATGTGGCAAAGAAGATCAGTAAGAAAACCATGTGAGGATGACCTTTGTCTGGGAGACACATGCAAAACACCAGTGGTTATATTCTCATATGTAACACCCTTCAGTAATACTGTTTCACTTGTGGCTGAGGAATGTCTGAAGCGTTTTGTCTGATTGCTGTGTATCATCTTTAACGGGATCAAGCAGGTGAACTTATTGACAAGTTACAGCATCTATGGTCCAGTTGTTTCAGATGATGCTTGTACAGCTCTAAACTTTATCATGTTCATATGGGCATGATAGTGTAAATGTATAATTTTGGTCAGTCAGATAAAAACAAAATCATACTGACCAAGGACGAAATCAGAGATGCATATTTTTGGGGATATACTAAACAGCTACCTAATCAAAAGGTTCTTAAATGTTTTTATTGCATACCAAGAGACAAAGACAGATTCAGCAAATCAAACTACTTCAGCTACAATAACTTTAAGCTGTTCCAACAGGGATTTCTGATTGGTTGAGGTTTGGGGACTACACTATCTGGGTAATTCTATTCTGTATAGACATTAATTCAGTACTCCCAGTCATAACACCTAACATGGCATCTGTATTCATTTCTGACAATACCACTTCTACACCAATGCATCAGTATTCATTTCTGACATACCACTTCTAGACCAAGCATACAGTATTCATTTCTGACATACAACTTCTAGACCAAGCATACAGTATTCATTTCTGACATACCACTTCTAGACCAAGCATACAGTATTCATTTCTGACATACCACTTCTAGATCAAGCATACAGTATTCATTTCTGACATACCACTTCCAGACCAAGCATACAGTATTCATTTCTGACATACCACTTCAAGACCAAGCATACAGTATTCATTTCTGACATACCACTTCTAGACCAAGCATACAGTATTCATTTCTGACATACCACTTCTAGACCAAGCATACAGTATTCATTTTCTGACATACCACTTCTAGATCAAACATACAGTATTCATTTCTGACATACCACTTCTAGATCAAGCATACAGTATTCATTTCTGACATACCACTTCTAGAACAAGCATACAGTATTCATTTCTGACATACCACTTCTAGACCAAGCATACAGGCATTCATTTCTGACATACCACTTCTAGACCAAGCATACAGTATTCATTTCTGACATACCACTTCTAGACCAAGCATACAGTATTCATTTCTGACATACCACTTCTAGATCAAGCATACAGTATTCATTTCTGACATACAACTTCTAGACCAAGCATACAGTATTCATTTCTGACATACCACTTCTAGACCAAGCATACAGTATTCATTTCTGACATACCACTTCTAGACCAAGCATACAGTATTCATTTCTGACATACCACTTCTAGATCAAGCATACAGTATTCATTTCTGACATACCACTTCTAGATCAAACGCCACAGTATTCATTTCTGACATACCACTTCTAGATCAAGCATACAGTATTCATTTCTGACATACCACTTCTAGACCAAGCATACAGTATTCATTTCTGACATACCACTTCTAGATCAAGCATACAGTATTCATTTCTGACATATCACTTCCAGACCAAGCATACAGTATTCATTTCTGACATACCACTTCCAGACCAAGCATACAGTATTCATTTCTGACATACCACTTCTAGATCAAGCATACAGTATTCATTTCTGACATACCACTTCTAGACCAAGCATACAGTATTCATTTCTGACATACCACTTCTAGAACAAGCATACAGTATTCATTTCTGACATACCACTTCTAGACCAAGCATACAGTATTCATTTCTCACATACCACTTCTAGAACAAGCATACAGTATTCATTTCTGACATACCACTTCTAGACCAAGCATACAGTATTCATTTCTGACATACCACTTCTAGATCAAGCATACAGTATTCATTTCTGACATACAACTTCTAGACCAAGCATACAGTATTCATTTCTGACATACCACTTCTAGACCAAGCATACAGTATTCATTTCTGACATACCACTTCTAGACCAAGCATACAGTATTCATTTCTGACATACCACTTCTAGATCAAGCATACAGTATTCATTTCTGACATACCACTTCTAGACCAAGCATACAGTATTCATTTCTGACATACCACTTCTAGACCAAGCATACAGTATTCATTTCTGACATACCACTTCTAGATCAAGCATACAGTATTCATTTCTGACATACCACTTCTAGACCAAGCATACAGTATTCATTTCTGACATACCACTTCTAGATCAAGCATACAAGTATTCATTTCTGACATACAACTTCTAGACCAAGCATACAGTATTCATTTCTGACATACCACTTCTAGACCAAGCATACAGTATTCATTTCTGACATACCACTTCTAGACCAAGCATACAGTATTCATTTCTGACATACCACTTCTAGATCAAGCATACAGTATTCATTTCTGACATACCACTTCTAGATCAAGCATACAGTATTCATTTCTGACATACCACTTCTAGATCAAGCATACACTATTCATTTCTGACATACCACTTCTAGATCAAACATACAGTATTCATTTCTGACATACCACTTCTAGACCAAGCATACAGTATTCATTTCTGACATACCACTTCTAGACCAAGCATACAGTATTCATTTCTGACATACCACTTCTAGATCAAGCATACAGTATTCATTTCTGACATACCACTTCTAGATCAAGCATACAGTATTCATTTCTGACATACCACTTCTAGATCAAGCATACAGTATTCATTTCTGACATACCACTTCTAAATCAAGCATACAGTATTCATTTCTGACATACCACTTCTAGATCAAGCATACAGTATTCATTTCTGACATACCACTTCTAGATCAAACATACAGTATTCATTTCTGACATACCACTTCTAGATCAAACATACAGTATTCATTTCTGACATACCACTTCTAGACCAAACATACAGTATTCATTTCATTGACATACCACTTCTAGACCAAGCATACAGTATTCATTTCTGACATACCACTTCTAGATCAAACATACAGTATTCATTTCTGACATACCACTTCTAGATCAAGCATACAGTATTCATTTCTGACATACCACTTCCTAGATCAAGCATACAGTATTGATTTCTGACATACCACTTCTAGATCAAGCATACAGTATTCATTTCTGACATATACCACTTCTAGATCAAACATACAGTATTCATTTCTGACATACCACTTCTAGATCAAGCATACAGTATTCATTTCTGACATACCACTTCTAGACCAAGCATACAGTATTCATTTCTGACATACCACTTCTAGATCAAGCATACAGTATTCATTTCTGACATATCACTTCCAGACCAAGCATATTCATTTCAGTATTCATTTCTGACATACCACTTCTAGATCAAGCATACAGTATTCATTTCTGACATACCACTTCTAGATCAAGCATACAGTATTCATTTCTGACATACCACTTCTAGATCAAGCATACAGTATTCATTTCTGACATACCACTTCTAGACCAAGCATACAGTATTCATTTCTGACATACCACTTCTAGATCAAGCATACAGTATTCATTTCAAGCACGACATACCATTTCTAGATCAAGCATACAGTATTCATTTCTGACATACCACTTCTAGATCAAGCATACAGTATTCATTTCTGACATACCACTTCTAGATCAAAGCATACAGTATTCATTTCTGACATACCACTTCTAGATCAAGCATACAGTATTCATTTCTGACATACCACTTCTAGATCAAGCATACAGTATTCATTTCTGATATACCACTTCTAGATCAAACATACAGTATTCATTTCTGACATACCACTTCTAGATCAAGCATACAGTATTCATTTCTGACATACCACTTCTAGACCAAGCATACAGTATTCATTTCTGACATACCACTTCTAGATCAAGCATACAGTATTCATTTCTGACATATCACTTCCAGACCAAGCATACAGTATTCATTTCTGACATACCACTTCTAGATCAAGCATACAGTATTCATTTCTGACATACCACTTCTAGACCAAGCATACAGTATTCATTTCTGACATACCACTTCTAGAACAAGCATACAGTATTCATTTCTGACATACCACTTCTAGACCAAGCATACAGTATTCATTTCTGACATACCACTTCTAGACCAAGCATACAGTATTCATTTCTGACATACCACTTCTAGACCAAGCATACAGTATTCATTTCTGACATACCACTTCTAGATCAAGCATACAGTATTCATTTCTGACATACCACTTCTAGACCAAGCATACAGTATTCATTTCTGACATACCACTTCTAGATCAAGCATACAGTATTCATTTCTGACATACCACTTCTAGACCAAGCATACAGTATTCATTTCTGACATACCACTTCTAGACCAAGCATACAGTATTCATTTCTGACATACCACTTCTAGACCAAGCATACAGTATTCATTTCTGACATACCACTTCTAGATCAAGCATACAGTATTCATTTCTGACATACCACTTCTAGACCAAGCATACAGTATTCATTTCTGACATACCACTTCTAGACCAAGCATACAGTATTCATTTCTGACATACCACTTCTAGACCAAGCATACAGTATTCATTTCTGACATACCACTTCTAGACCAAGCATACAGTATTCATTTCTGACATACCACTTCTAGACCAAGCATACAGTATTCATTTCTGACATACCACTTCTAGACCAAGCATACAGTATTCATTTCTGACATACCACTTCTAGACCAAGCATACAGTATTCATTTCTGACATACCACTTCTAGACCAAGCATACAGTATTCATTTCTGACATACCACTTCTAGATCAAGCATACAGTATTCATTTCTGACATACACTTCTAGACCAAGCATACAGTATTCATTTCTGACATACCACTTCTAGACCAAGCATACAGTATTCATTTCTGACATACCACTTCTAGACCAAGCATACAGTATTCATTTCTGACATACCACTTCTAGATCAAGCATACAGTATTCATTTCTGACATACCACTTCTAGATCAAGCATGTACAGTATTCATTTCTGACATACCACTTCTAGATCAAGCATACAGTATTCATTTCTGACATACCACTTCTAGATCAAACATACAGTATTCATTTCTGACATACCACTTCTAGACCAAGCATACAGTATTCATTTCTGACATACCACTTCTAGACCAAGCATACAGTATTCATTTCCTGACATACCACTTCTAGATCAAGCATACAGTATTCATTTTCTGACATACCACTTCTAGATCAAGCATACAGTATTCATTTCTGACATACCACTTCTAGATCAAGCATACAGTATTCATTTCTGACATACCACTTCTAGATCAAGCATACAGTATTCATTTCTCACATACCACTTCTAGATCAAGCATACAGTATTCATTTCTGACATACCACTTCTAGATCAAGCATACAGTATTCATTTCTCACATACCACTTCTAGATCAAGCATACAGTATTCATTTCTCACATACCACTTCTAGACCAAGCATACCGTGCAAAGTACAACAGACAATGCCCATGCCAGACAACAGTGGATAAATAAGCCTTCACATAAGTTCAGTTGGTAAACAAACAGGTAAACCAACAATAACAAGGTTGGCATTGTGTCTCACCTGGCTGATTGGGAAGATCTGCAGAGCATCCATTCCAATCTTCGGATTGAACACTTTCAGCTTGCAGTAGCCAGCGTCAATCACAAACATTATACCATCAACTGCAACAGATAAAAACTGTAAGCCACAAACATCAATTAGACTCAAACTATGAGATATAATTTCCTTCACTCTCTGGCTCCAACAGCCCCCTCACACCAAGCAGTGTCCCTATTCACACAACAAGCAGTGTCCTCATTCACTCTCTGGTCCACAACAAGTCCAGTGTCCTCATTCACAACAAGCAGTGTCTGGTCCACTAACAAGCAGTGTCCCTCACTCACTCTCTGTCCCACAACAAGCAGTGTCCACATTCACTCTCTGCCCCACAACAAGCAGTGTCCTCATTCACTCTCTGTCCCACAACAAGCAGTGTCCTCATTCTAGTGTCCACAACAAGCAGTGTCTCATTCACTCTAACAAGCAGTGTCCTCATTCACTCTCTGGTCCACAACAAGCAGTGTCCTCATTCACTCTCTGGTCCCACAACAAGCAGTGTCCTCATTCACTCTCTGGTCCACAACAAGCAGTGTCCACATTCACTCTCTGGCCCACAACAAGCAGTGTCCACATTCACTCTCTGCACCACAACAAGCAGTGTCCACATTCACTCTCTGGCCCACAACAAGCAGTGTCCACATTCACTCTCTGGCCCACAACAAGCAGTGTCCTCACTCACTCTCTGGTCCACAACAAGCAGTGTCCTCATTCACTCTCTGGTCCACAACAAGCAGTGTCCACATTCACTCTCTGGTCCACAACAAGCAGTGTCCACATTCACTCTCTGGCCCACAACAAGCAGTGTCCACATTCACTCTCTGGTCCACAACAAGCAGTGTCCTCATTCACTCTAACAAGCAGTGTCCTGACTCACCCTCTGTCCCACAACAAGCAGTGTCCTCATTCACTCTCTGTCCCCACAACAAGCAGTGTCCACATTCTCACTCTCACTCTCTGTCCCACAACAAGCAGTGTCCTCATTCACTCTCTGTCCCACAACAAGCAGTGTCCTCATTCACTCTCTGGTCCACAACAAGCAGTGTCCACATTCACTCTCTGCCCCACAACAAGCAGTGTGTCCAACAAGCAGTGTCCTCACTCACTCTCTGTCCCACAACAAGCAGTGTCCTCATTCACTCTCTGTCCCACAACAAGCAGTGTCCTCATTCACTCTCTGGTCCACAACAAGCAGTGTCCTCATTCACTCTCTGGTCCACAACAAGCAGTGTCCACATTCACTCTCTGGTCCCACAACAAGCAGTGTGTCCACATTCACAACCTCTGTCCCACAACAAGCAGTGTCCTCATTCACTCTCTGGTCCACAACAAGCAGTGTCCTCATTCACTCTCTGGCCCACAACAAGCAGTGTCCTCATTCACCCTCTGTCCCACAACAAGCAGTGTCCACATTCACTCTCTGTCCCACAACAAGCAGTGTCCTCATTCACTCTCTGTCCCACAACAAGCAGTGTCCTCACTCACTCTCTGTCCCACAACAAGCAGTGTCCACATTCACTCTCTGTCCCACAACAAGCAGTGTCCTCATTCACTCTCTGGTCCACAACAAGCAGTGTCCTCATTCGCTCTCTGCCCCACAACAAGCAGTGTCCACATTCACCCTCTGTCCCACAACAAGCAGTGTCCTCATTCACTCTCTGGCCCACAACAAACTCACACATTATGGAAACATATTCGCACCTGTCAGAGACGTTTCTGCAATGTTGGTGTCGACTACACACTTGAGGACACCATCAGGAGCCTTTTGGAAGATTTTAGCCTGCAGGTCACTGGGAAGCTGGGAGTAGATAGGGAGGATGGCAAGGGGCGGGGCCTCATCCAGCTCTCCAAGTCTTTCTGTGGACACAAGTCATATATCAGCAATAGTTTAACACTGGGAAGCTGGGAGTAGATAGGGAGGATATGGGCCTCATCCAGCTCTCCAAGTCTTTCTGTGGACACAAGTCATATATCAGCAATAGTTTAACACTGGGAAGCTGGGAGTAGATAGGGGATGGCGATGGTGGGGGCCTCATCCAGCTCTCCAAGTCTTTCTGTGGACACAAGTCATATATCAGCAATTTAACACTGGGAAGCTGGAGTAGAGTAGGATAACACTGGGATGCTGGGAGTAGCTCTCCAAGTTTCTGTGGACACAAGTCATATATCAGCAATAGTTTAACACTGGGAAGCTGGGAGTAGATAGGGAGGATGGCGAGGGGCGGGGCCTCATCCAGCTCTCCAAGTCTTTCTGTGGACACAAGTCATATATCAGCAATAGTTTAACACTGGGAAGCTGGGAGTAGATAGGGAGGATGGCGAGGGGCGGGGCCTCATCCAGCTCTCCAAGTCTTTCTGTGGACACAAGTCATATATCAGCAATAGTTAGGGAGGAACACTGGGAAGCTGGGAGTAGATAGGGGAGGATGATATGAGGGGCTGGGCCTCATCCAGCTCTCCAAGTCAATAGTTTTCTGGGAAGTGGACACAAGTCATATATCAGCAATAGTTTAACACTGGGAAGCTGGGAGTAGATAGGAGGGATGGCGAGGGTGGGGCCTCATCCAGTCTTCTGGACACAAGTCTTTCTGTGGACACAAGTCATATATCAGCAATACTTTAACACTGTTTTTACACATGTATTGTCATGTCAAACCAGGAGCAATCGATTCATTCATAAAACTGATATGTCCTGATACCAATAACTGTCTCTCACCTGAGATAAGTTCACATGTCACTTCGATGTCTTCTTGGCCAGGCATAAAGATGAGAATATCTCCTGAAACATCATGACAACTCACTGTTACAGTTTGTCACATCAACTTGTGAACTTCCTTATTCACAGAAAGTTCGCCTTAAATGCAGTTCTACCATAAGTCTGGAAATTCCTCAATTCTAACTGGATCACAATAATAAACGTGTTATTGAAACAGTAGATCATAAAGCAATATCCCTGCAAAAGCTTATTCAGATTGATGAAAAATTAGTTGTAGGTATTTCTTAATAATATTTAGTGAGTGAGTGAGTTTAGTTTTATGCCGCTTTTAGCAATATTCCAGCAATATCACGGAGGGGGACACTGTTGCTTCACACATTGTACCCATGTGGGGAATAGAACCCGGGTCTTCGGCGTGTCGAGCGAATGTTTTAAGTTTAAGTTTAACCACTAGGCTACCCCAACACCCCAATGATAGGGTACACCAGACTACATATACAAGATACATGTACATATGATAATGAGATAACCATAACAAAGGTGGGATAACACCTTACATCCCCTTCATGTGGACAGTCTCACCCTACATCCCCTCCATGTGTACAGTCTCACCCTACATCCCCTCCATGTGGACAGTCTCACCCTACATCCCCTCCATGTGGACAGTCTCACCCTACATCCCCTCCATGTGTACAGTCTCACCCTACATCCCCTCCATGTGTACAGTCTCATCCCTCCCAGTCTACATCCCTCCATGTGGACAGTCTCACCCTACATCCCTCCATGTGTACAGTCTCACCCTACATCCCCCTGGGACAGTCTCTCTCCCTACATCCATCTCCATGTGGACCCACAGTCTCACCCCTACATCCCTCCCGTGTATGTGGCAGTCTCACCCTACATCCCTCCATTTGTACAGTCTCACCCTACATCCCTCCATGTGTGTCTCTCCCTACAGTCTCTCCCTACATCCCTTCCATGTGGACAGTCTCTCCCTACATCCCTCCATGTGTGTCTCACCCTACATCCCCTCCATGTGGACAGTCTCACCCTACACCCCCTCCACATGTGATGTCTCACCCTACATCCCTCCATGTACATGTACAGTCTCTCCCTACATCCCCTCCATGTGGACAGTCTCAATACATCCCTCCATGTGGTACAGTCTCTCCCTACATCCCTCCATGTGGACAGTCTCACCCTACATCCCTCCATGTGTAAGTCTCTCCTACATCCCTCCATGTGTACAGTCTCACCTTTTGCATCCCCACCATGTGGACAGTCTCACCCTACATCCCTCCATGTGTACAGTCTCTCCTACACATCCCTCCATGTGTACAGTCTCACCCTACATCCCCTCCATGTGTACAGTCTCTCCCTACATCCCCTCCATGTGGACAGTCTCACCCTACATCCCCTCCATGTGGACAGTCTCTCCCTACATCCCCTCCATGTGGACAGTCTCACCCTACATCCCCTCCATGTGGACAGTCTCACCCTACATCCCCTCCATGTGGACAGTCTCACCCTACATCCCTCCACATGTAAGTCTCTCCCTACATCCCTCCATGTGTACAGTCTCTCCCTACATCCCCTCCATGTGTACAGTCTCACCTTGCATCCCCTCCATGTGGACAGTCTCACCCTACATCCCCTCCATGTGTACAGTCTCACCCTACATCCCCTCCATGTGTACAGTCTCTCCCTACATCCCCTCCATGTGGACAGTCTCACCCTACATCCCCTCCATGTGGACAGTCTCACCCTACATCCCCCTCCATGTCACAGTATCCCTCCATGTCTCACCTCCCTACATCCCTCCATGTGTGACAGTCTCACCCCTACATCCCTCCATGTGTGGACAGTCTCACCCTACATCCCTCCATGTGGACAGTCTCACCCTACATCCCCTCCAGGTGTACAGTCTCTCCCTACATCCCCTCCATGTGTACAGTCTCACCCTACATCCCCTCCATGTGGACAGTCTCACCCTACATCCCCTCCACGTGTACAGTCTCTCCCTACATCCCCTCCATGTGTACTGTCTCACCTTGCATCCCCCTGCATCCCCTGCCATGGTGTACAGTCTCTCCCCCCATGTACAGTCTCCCTCCATGTGTACAGTCTCTCCCTACATCCCCACCATGTGGACAGTCTCACCCTACATCCCCTCCACGTGTACAGTTTCACCCTACATCCCCTCCATGTGTACTGTCTCACCTTGCATCCCCTGCAGGTGTACTTGGAGGGCCTGTTTCACCGAGGCATCTACATAGTCCTCCACTGGGTTCTTGCTGTACATGACGTCCACGGGGAATGTCCGACCAGGTATTGTGAAAATTGGAACGTTTCCGAAAAAATTTGCAAATTTACTAGCATCCATGGTTGCAGATGTTACAATAAGCTTGAGATCATTCCGTCTAGCTACCACCTGGAAAAACAAATTGTACTCATGTTACACTAAAATGATAAACCTGTAAATGTGTTCAGAATAAACATAAAACAATACTATGTAATATATGTGTCCACACATACAGAGATGACACAAGTATACAAAGGTGACACAAGTACAAACAGATGACAACAAGTGTACTGAGATGACACAAGTATCTACAGATGACACAAGTACAGAAGACACAAGTGAGTGAATGAGAGAGTGAGTTTAGATTTACGCCGCACTCAGCAATATTCCAGCTATATGGCGGCGGTCTGTAAATAATCGAGTCTGGACCAAACAATCCAGTGATCAACAGCATTAGCATCGATCTGCGTAACTGGGATGATGTGTCAACCAAGTCAGCGAGGCTGACCACCCAATCCCGTTACACAAGCATGGGTTACTGAAGATCATTTCTAACCCAGACCTTCATGGGTCAGATGACACAAGTATAAACAGATGACACAAGGATACAGAGATAACAAAAGGATACATACATGACACAACTCCAAACAGATGAGCCAAGTTGACACAAGGATACAGAGATAACACAAGGATACATAGATGACACAACTCCAAACAGATGACACAAGTTGACACAAGGATACAGAGATAACACAAGGATACATAGATGACACAAGTACAAACAGATGACACAAGTTGACACAAGGATGCAGAGATGACACAAGGATACATAGATGACACAACTCCAAACAGATGAGCCAAGTTGACACAAGGATACAGAGATAACACAAGGATACATAGATGACACAAGTACAAACAGATGACACAAGTTGACACAAGGATGCAGAGATGACACAAGTACAAAAGGATACATAGATGACACAACAGATGAGCCAAACAGATGAGCACAAGGATAAGTTGACACAAGGATACAAGGAGAGATAACACAAGGATACATAGATGACACAACTCCAAACAGATGACACAAGTTGACACAAGGATGCAGAGATGACACAAGGATACATAGATGACACAACTACAAACAGATGACACAAGTTGACACAAGGATACAGAGATGACACAAGGATACAGATGACACAGTTGACACAACGATATAGAGATGACACAAGGATACAGAGATAACACAAGGATACATAGATGACACAAGTACAAACAGATGACACAGATGACACAAGCATAGAGATGACACAAGGATACAGAGATAACACAAGGATACATAGATGACACAAGGATGGGGACCCACCTCCCTGAGCAGCCCAAACAGCACGTCCGTGTTGAGGGAACGCTCGTGAGCTTCATCCATGATAACTGCACTGTAGTTGTCGAGATCGGACTCCCGGAGCGACTCCCGTAGGAGGATACCATCAGTCATGTACTTGATCATTGTTTTCTGAAACACAGAACAAAGTTGCAAATATTTTCTACTTAAATGTTAAAAGGTTAAAAGCTGCATGTTGGCAGTTATTCTACAGGGTGGTTGTTGTTTTTCTACAGGTTGACATTTGTGCTATTGTTTCTTCAGATTCAGGGGGCTGTGGGGTAGCCTAAGGGTTAAAGCGTTGACTCGGCACGCCAAAGACCCGGGTTCGAATCCCCACATGGGTACAATGTGTGAAGCCCATTTCTGGTGTCCCCCGCCGTGATGTTGCTGGAATATTGCTAAAAGCGGCGTAAAACCAAACTCAGTCAGATTCACTTTAGCTTTTCCTATGGGTTGAGTGCTCAATCAGACTCTTGTGCTAATTATTTTACAGGAAGACTGTTGTGTTGAACTGTCAACATGGTGACTGTTGTCTCATTCTAGATTTTGACTGTTGTGTTAATTTTACTGCAGGGTGACAGTTGTGTTAATTATACTGCAGGTTGACAGTTGTGTTAATTGTACTGCAGGTTGACTGTTGTGTTAATTATACTGCAGGTTGACTGTTGTGTTAATTATACTGCAGGTTGACTGTTGTGTTAATTATATTGCAGGTTGACTGTTGTGTTAATTGTACTGCAGGTTGACTGTTGTGTTAATTGTACTGCAGGTTGACTGTTGTGTTAATTATACTGCAGGTTGACAGTTGTGTTAATTATACTGCAGGTTGACTGTTGTGTTAATTATACTGCAGGTTGACTGTTGTGTTAATTATACTGCAGGTTGACTGTTGTGTATAATTATACTGCAGGTTGACAGTTGTGTTAATTATACTGCAGGTTGACTGTTGTGTTAATTATACTGCAGGTTGACTGTTGTGTTAATTATACTGCAGGTTGACTGTTGTGTTAATTATACTGCAGGTTGACTGTTGTGTTAATTGTACTGCAGGTTGACTGTTGTGTTAATTATACTGCAGGTTGACTGTTGTGTTAATTATACTGCAGGTTGACTGTTGTGTTAATTGTACTGCAGGTTGACTGTTGTGTTAATTATACTGCAGGTTGACTGTTGTGTTAATTATACTGCAGGTTGACTGTTGTGTTAATTATACTGCAGGTTGACTGTTGTGTTAATTATACTGCAGGTTGACTGTTGTGTTAATTATACTGCAGGTTGACTGTTGTGTTAATTGTACTGCAGGTTGACTGTTGTGTTAATTATACTGCAGGTTGACTGTTGTAGAATACATAGAAGATGGTCGGTCTCGTCCATTCCGTGCCACTCCACTGTCCACCATCCAGCACCATCCACATCGTCAGCTCACCTCCTTTCCTCCGTGCCTCCTCGTCTCCATCCAGCTCCACCGTGCTGTCCAGCTCGGTCCTCCGTCTTGTCCGTGTGTCTCCGTCAGCTCTCCAGCTCTGTGGCTCTCCAGTCAGCTCAGTGTCCGTGCTCATTCCTCGTCAGCTCAGTGCTCAGCTCTTGTCCAGCTCCGTCCAGCTGGCTCAGCTCTCCAGTGTGGCTCCGTCTTTCGTGCTGTCAGCTCACCGTGGCTCAGTGTGTCAGGCTGTCCGTGTCCGTGCTGTCAGCTCGTCCAGCTCAGTGCATCCTGTCAGTGTCCGTCCGTCCAGCTCAGTGTCAGTCGGTCTCCTCCGTCCGGCTGTCCGGCTTTCCAGCTCAGTGCGTCCAGCGTGCGTTGTCGTTCCTTGGCGTCGTGTCGTCAGTGTCAGTGTCGGTCCGTCAGTGCCGTCCGGCGCTGTCAGTGTCAGCTCACCGTCCAGTGCTCCTCCGTCTTCCTCGTCAGTATCGGCAGTGTCAGTGCGTTCCGCTCCGTCCAGCTGTCGGCGTCCGCCGTCGTCTCCGTCCAGGTCCGTACCGTGTGCTCCGTGGCGCCGTCCGTGCGTCAGCTCTCCATCCGTCAGTGCTCCGTCAGCTGTCCGGCGCTCGTCCGGCGTCAGTGCCATCCAGCGTGTGTCCGTCCGTCGGCTCAGTGCGTCCAGCTCTCGCTGTCGTGCTCCTCCGTCCGTCAGTGTCGTCCGGCTCACCGTCCAGTGTCGTTTCAGTGGCGCCGTCCAGCTGTGTCGTCAGCTCGTCCAGTGTCCGTCGTCAGCTGTCCGTCCAGCTCTCCGTATTGCATCCAGCTCTCACCGTCCGCACCGTCAGGCTCACCGTCGTCAATGCTCCGTCAGTCTCACTCCGTCCAGCTCTCCGCTCCAGTGCGTCCAGTGCGTTTCCGTCCAGCAGTGCTCACTCCGTTCAGCTCCGTCTCCGTCTTTCCGTCCGTGTGTCCGTGCTGTCCGTGCGGCGTCAGTGCGTCATTTCCGTCCAGCTCACTCCGTGCAGCTCACCGTCCAGCTCAGTGCTCCGTTCGACTTTCCTCCGTCCGGCCGTCCTTCTCGCCGTCCGGTGTCAGCTCTCCGCCGTCAGCTCCTCCGTCGGTCAGTGCTCCGTCCAGCTCATCGATTGCTCCGTCCTGCTCACCGTCAGTCTCCTCCGCTCTCCTGGATCCGGCTCGTTCCGATGGCTCACCGTCAGCTCACCGGTGTCGTCGGCTCAGATCGTCAGCTCTCACCGTCAGTCTCCGTCAATCCGTCATCCACTCAATTATCATCGTCAATCGTCAATCTGAACCTGCCAACTCTTTCCATCCATTCTCCATCCAACTCCTCCATCCTATCCACCTTTCCACCATCCAACTCTGCTCCAATCCACTTCCACCATCCACGCCATCCATCCAACTCCTCTACACCTCCATCCAACTCTCACTCCATCCAACTCACACCATCCAACTTGCTCCCTCCATCCAACTCTCACACCATCCAACTCTCACACCATCCAACTTCTCACTCCATCCAACTCTACACTCCAATCCAAATCTCATCCACCATCCAACTTCTCCACCCATTCCAACTCCACTCCATCCAACTTTCCACTCCATCCAACTTCACACACCATCCAACTCTCACACCATCCAACTTCCCACTCCATCCAACTCTCACACCATCCATCCAACTCTCCACCATCCAACTTCTCCACCATCCAACTCACACTCCATCCAACTCTCACACCATCCAACTCTCACCCATCCAACTTCCTCACCCATCCAACTCTCACCTCCATCCAACTCTCCACTCCATCCAACTCTCCACCCATCCAACTCTCACACCATCCAACTCCTCCATCCATGCTCTCACACCATCCAACTCTCACATCCATCCAACTTCAACTCCAACTCTCACTCCATCCAACTCTCACACCATCCAACTCTCACCATATCTTAAACTTACACCATCCAATGCTCACTTCCATCCAACTCTCACTCCATCCAACTTCTCACACCATCCAACTTCCACACCTATCCACTTACTTCCATCCAAATCTCCTCACTCCCATCCAACTCCACCATCCAATCCTCACTTCATCCAACTTTCACACCATCCAATGCTCATCCATCCATCCACTCCATCAATGCTTCAATCACACCATCCAATGCTCACACCATCCAACTCTCACACCATCCAACTCTCACACCATCCAACTTCTCCTCCATCCAACTCTCACACCATCCAACTCTCACCATCCAACTTCACACCATCCAATGCTCCTACACTATCCAACTCTCACTCCATCAAACTCTCACTCCATCCAAACTCTCCACCATCCAATGCTCACCATCACCATCTCACTCCATCCAACTCTACATCCATTCTCCTCCACCATCCAATGCTCTACTCCATCCAACTCCTCCTCCATCCAACTCTCATCTCACTCCTCACTCATCCAACTTCTCATCCAACTCTCACCATCCAACTCACACCATCCAATGCTCACCCATCCAACTCTCCAACTCTCTTACACCATCCAACTTCTACTCACTCCACTCATACCCAGCTCTCCTCCATCCAACTCTCACTCCATCCAACTTCTGCCATCCAATCTCACACCATCCAATGCTCACCATCCATCGCTTCTCACTCCATCCAACTCTCACTCCATCCAACTCTCACACCCATCCAACTGCTCACACCATCCAACTCTCACACCATCCAACTCTCACTCCATCCAACTCCACTCCATCCCAGTGCTCACTCCATCCAACTCTCACTCCATCCAACTCTCACTCCATCCAACTCTCACACCATCCAACTCACACCATCCAATGCTCCTCCATCCAACTCTCCTCCATCCAACTCACTCACTCCATCCAACTCTCTCCATCCAACTCTCACCATCCACTCATCCATCCTCTCCACACCATCCAACTCTCACACCATCCAACTCTCACACCATCCAGCTCTCTCACTCCATCCAACTCTGCTCACTCCATCCAACTCACACCATCCAATGCTCACTCCATCCAACTTTCACTCCATCCAACTCTCACACCATCCAACTCACACCATCCAATGCTCCTCCATCCATCCAGCTCTCACACCATCCAGCTCTGCCCACTCCATCCAACTCTCTCCTCCATCCAGCTCTCACACCATCCAAGCTCTCCACCATCCAGCTCTCACACCATCCAGCTCACACCATCCAATGCTCACTCCATCAAACTCCTCACTCCATCCAACTCTCACACCATCCAACTTCTCTCACACCATCCAGCTCTCCACACCATCCAGGCTCTCTCACACCATCCAACTCTCACTCCATCCAACTCTCACTCCATCCAACTCTCACACCATCCAACTCTCACACCATCCAAGTGCTCACATCCTCCATCCAGCTCTCACTCCATCCAACTCTCATTCCATCCAACTCTCACACCATCCAATGCTCACTCCATCCAGCTCTCACTCCATCCAGCTCTCACTCCATCCAGCTCACCATCCAGCTCCACCATCCAGTGCTCACTCCATCCAACTCTCTCAGCTCCATCCAGTGCTCACTCCATCCAGCTCCACACCATCCAACTCTCACTCCATCCTACTCACACCATCCAATGCTCACTCCATCCAACTCTCACACCGTCCAACTCTCACTCCATGCAACTCTCACACCATCCAACTCACACCATCCAATGCTCACTCCATCCAACTCTCAAACCATCCAACTCTCACACCATCCAATTCTCACTTCATCCAACTCTCACTCAACTCAACCCAACACACACACCATACACACCACCACAAACACACTATCCAACACACACACCATCAAACACACACAACACACACCATCACACACACACAATCAAACACACACAACACACACCATTCAGCACCTGCACCACACACCACACCACACATACACCATCAAACACACACACACACACCACCACCACCATTGCACACACACACACACACACACCATCAAACACACACAACACACACCATCCAACACATGCACACACACACCATACACACCACCCACACACCACCACACACACACACCATACACACCACCACAAACACACTATCCAACACACACACCATCATGCACACATAGTGACATACCTGTGTAAGTTGGGTGGTCTTCCCGGAACCAGTCTCCCCAACAATGATGATTATACTGTTGTCTCTGATCACATTCAGAAGCTGTATAAAAGACAACATACACCTTTACAACTGACTACAACAGTACAGCAATGATATGACAATTCTGTAACACTGACTACAACAGTACAACACTGAGATGACGATTCTGTGACACTGACTACAACAGTACAACACTGAGATGATGATTCTGTGACACTGACTACAACAGTACAACACTGAGATGATGATTCTGTGACACTGACTACAACAGTACAACACTGAGATGATGATTCTGTGACACTGACTACAACAGTACAACACTGAGATGATGATTCTGTGACACTGACTACAACAGTACAACACTGAGATGATGATTCTGTGACACTGACTACAACAAGTACAACACTGAGATGATGATTCTGTGACACTGACTGGAACAACACTGGGATGATGATTCTGTGACACTGACTACAACAGTTACAACACTGAGATGATGATTCTGTAACACGCGACTACAACAGTACAACACTGGGGCGATGATTCTGGGACACTGATTACAACAGTACAACACTGAGATGATGATTCTGTGACACTGACTACAACGGTACAAACTGAGGATGATGATTCTGTGACACTGACTGCAAACGGTACAACACTGGGATGATGATTCTGTGACACTGACTACAACAGTACAACACTGAGATGATGATTCTGTGACGCGACTACAACAAGTACAACACTGAGATGATGATTCTGTGACACTGACTACAACAGTACAACACTGAGATGATGATTCTAACACTGACTACAACAGGTACAACACTGAGGCGATGATTGGACACTGATTACGGCAGTACAACACTGAGGATGATGATTCTGTGACACTGACTGCAACGGTACAACACTGAGATGGCGATTCTGTGACACTGACTACAACAGTACAACACTGAGATGATGATTCTGTGACACTGACTACAACAGTGCGGTACAACACTGAGATGATGATTCTGTGACACTGACTACAACAGTACAACACTGAGATGATGATTCTGTAACACTGACTACAACAAGTACAACACTGAGATGATGATTCTGTAACACTGACTACAACGGTACCGGTACACTGAGATGATGATTCTGTGACACTGACTACAACAGTACAACACTGAGATGATGATTCTGTAACACTGACTACAACAGTACAACACTGAGATGATGATTCTGTGACACTGACTACAACAGTACAACACTGAGATGATGATTCTGTGACACTGACTACAACAGTACAACACTGAGACGATGATTCTGAAACACTGACTACAACAGTACAACACTGAGACGATGATTCTGTGACACTGACTACAACACACAATCATTCAACAGGAGACTTAGCTAAACCTGTAGAGGTTTCCAATTCTTTGAAGAAAATCGTCCCTGGGGTACATATATGCATTTTCTGCGGCTGAAAATGTCATGTGACAGTTGTATCAATGTTTTAATAAATATATTGTACAATAAATAACATCTTTTTTATCTATTATACGGCCCCCACCACGTGGAGTTACCTCCCTGCTACGCATGCGCAGCCAACCAGGTAAGCACCTAGGCCCATATCATCATTCCTTCTGCTGAATAAATCAGTGAACAGAATTAGCGGGGAGGTGGGGGCCCTAACCCAAGGACGATTCTCTTCAAAGAATTGGAAACCTCTAGGGGTTTAGCTACACAGCGCGAAAGTAAAATACCCTGCCCACATCATGAATCTATTATAAGAGCACCGTAAGGGGGAAACCTAACTCACAACCGACATTAATCTCCTGAGAGAATCAAAAGGAGTTAAATATGGTAACAGCGGATATATCAATGATACACAATTGAAAGCAGTGTCAACTGTCCAGATAACCAAGACTCACTCGGTCAGGGTGGCAGGACACTGTCCACTGGAGAGAACAGAACGGCCAAAACGCGCACGATCACGTGAATGTGTATCGAGAAGATAGTGCCTGATAAAAGTGCTAAGCCTGCTCCAAATAGTGGCAGAGCATATCTCTTCAATGGGCAGCGCCGATGCAAAAGCCTTTGACGTCGCCACTGCCCTGACCGAGTGAGCCCTCAGGGGGAGGCTTGCCCTTAGCCTGATAAGCAGCACAAATGACAAGCCAGCGTGATAGGGTCTGTTTGCTAGCCGGCATGCCAGCCTTCCCGCCACCGTAACAGCAGAACAGATGGGTACCCATACGGATCCCTTGTGTTCATTTGATATAGACCTTGAGTCTTATGGACATCCAACGGGTGAGTGCTCTGCAGAGGTCCCTGATGTGGAAGGCTGGGTAAGAGTAGGAAGTTCGATGGGAGCTGTCACATGGAAAGCGTGATCGATCTTCGGACGGTAAGTATCCGGGAGGCGAATACTGACACGATCTGGATGGAATACAGTCAGCGACGGGTCTGCCGACATAGCATGTAAGTCGCCGACCCTACACCCAGATGTTACCGCCACCAGAAATACGGCCTTCCATGTTATTAGCTGAATGGAAATAGCCGATAGACGTGAGAACGTAGGACCAGACAGCCAATCTAGCACGATTGACAAATCCCAAGGTGGGCTGGTTCGCCTGACAGCAGGTCGAACCCGATCCATGCCAGCTAAAAAGCGCTGCATAAGAGGGTGCTGCCCCAGAAAAGCACCATCGACAGGGGTGTGGAAAGTGGAAATAGCGGTGGAGTAGCCACGAATGGTTGAAGCCGCCAAGCCTTCTTCCAAACGAGCTTGCAAAAACTCCAATACTCGGACTAAATCTGCAGAAAAGGGATCTGCAATGCCCCTATCTGAACGCCAGCGCGCATAGCGGGACCACCTATCCTCATATTGAACGTTTGTCGAATCCCGCCTCAAAGCCAAAATTGTGTCTGCAACCGCTGCAGGAATTCCACGTGTTTCAAGGCTAGACCTGACAGAGGCCAAGCCACCCACTGAATCCTTGGATTGGGGTATGCGCCGTTCTGAGAGAGAATGTCCGTCGCAGGTTGTAATAGAACAGGAGGCTGAGCCAGAAACCTGAGAATTACCGGAACCAGGTCTGTCAGACGGCCATAGCGGTGCCAGTAGTACAAGTAGCAGAGCTGGCTGGGTTGACAGCTGGGAGAGGACCTGGGGAATGAGTGGTAGAGGCGGGAACGCCCACAGCACCTTGCCCGTCCAATCCAGCAGGAAGGCGTCGGCAGCCAACACCCTTTGGTCCGGTATTTGAGAGCAGAACACGGGTATCTGATTCGTCCACGCAAACAGATCCACCTGGAACAACCTGTACAAATGGGAGATAACTCCGAATATCTGCCAGTCGAGCATCCATCTCCACTCGAGAGAGAGCGTCTGCTCGCACGTTCTCCAGCCCCGGGAGATAAACAGGAAGCACCTTAAAGTCGCACTGGTCACATCAGAGTAGAAATTCCCACGTCTCCCGAAGCAGCGCTAGTGACACCGTGCCGCCTTGCTTCAGGATGTATGTCGTGGCCGTACGGTTGTCCAACTGAAGAAGATCCACCTGGCCCTGAACATGCTCCCGGAAGCGCTCGAAAATCAACCGCTCAGCTCTCAGTTCTAACACGTTGATGTGAAGGAGTGATTCGGCTTCGGACCAGAGTCCAAACACCGACAGACTGCCCAGAACACACCCCAAGCCCGTGAGGGATGCATCGGTTTGAACTGTAAGAGCTGGCGTCGGGGTTTCCAAAGGGATTCCCTTGGAGAGATTCCTGACATTGGTTCACCACTGAAGGTGAGGAGACAACCACGCGGGGACTGTGGGACTCTGCTCCAGATCCTCTGAGTGAGCCCACAGACTCGCCAAAGCTTGCTGTATAGGGCGCATCCTCAACCGTGCCCGCCACACGACAGAGGTAGTTGCCGCCATATGACCCAGTAGACGGAGCCAAGTCCGCGCTGGTGCCTGGGGCTGGGAGAGGAACGAAGACACCATATCCCAAACTCTGGTGACCCGGTCGGGCGACAAAGAGACAAGACCCTTGTGAGTTGTGAACCTCGTCCCGAGAAAAACCAAGTCCTCGGTGGGTACCAGGTCGGATTTATTGAGGTTGATGATCCACCCCAGACGAACTAGAATGTCTATCACCGTGTGGGTAGAATCCAGGCTCGCTGGTTGAGTTAGAGCGCTGAGCAACCAGTCGTCGAGGTAAGGGTAACAACGCCTTAATTGTGACCTTGCGAGGGTAGCCGGCACTAACATGAGCTTGGTGAAAACCCTGGGGGCAGTGGATATCCCGAAGGGGAGCACCGTGAATTGGTAAGACATCCCGTCGTAAGAGAACCGGAGGTACTGCTTGAACGATGGATGAATTGGCACATGTAGATACACATCCTTTAGGTCAATCGACGTAAGCCAATCGCCGGGCTGAACAGAGGAGATCAACGAGCGAAGTGTCTCCATCTTGAAGGATGGAACCTCTAGCATGCAATTCAACCCCTTGAGGTTGAGAATGGGACAGAACCCGCCGTCCTTCTTCGGAACGAGGAAGTACGTGGAATAAAACCCCGCCTGTTCCTCGCCGGTGGTATGCACTCTATTGTGGACTTGTCCAGCAAAGCCTGAACTTCGTCTCGCAGTATACCCGCCTTGACCGAACATGATGGCACGAGTCACGGCGTATGCCGGTGAACTCCGGCGGGCCTCGCTTCCATGGTGTTGCTGGTAGCCTTCTCCCACTCGGGCAGCAAATAAAGAGAGGCGGCCCCCCACTGGGACGTGTGGTAAGAGGGCGTGAGTGGTCCCCAGCAGTGGAACTGACTGGGCCTGCTGGTTTAATTGGAGGTCGGGGCAGACCCTGCGCGAGCGCCAAAAGGCTGCTGGGAGCCAGAAGAAGAGGACTGCTCCTTCCCCTTACCTTTGGCGGGGCCGGCCCTCCTACCCTGCCCAGCGGCCGAAGCCAGATGGCAGACTTGGGCGTAGGCTGCGCCCCAGAGGAGAAACCCGCTACGTGAGCACGGGAGCGAGAAACCCGCGGTTGCTCCAACAAGGCCTTAGAGTCCTTGAAGGAGGTAGCTGCTGCAGTAGCCTCCCGAATGACCTGCTGTGCCCCCGGAAACAACGTCGCTCCCAGCCGAAACGGAAGAGCCAGCAAGGTCTGCTGTGTCGCTGCAGAATAACAGGATGTAGACAGCCACATCTTGCGCATCCCCATGACTGCGCACATCACCGTAGACGCGGCAGACCGGAAAGAGTCTCATGTCAGGTGGGCCTGCACTTAGGATAATTGGCGAAGCAGAACAACATTCGGGGAAATGTCCCCAGTGCTCCCTTCCGCCTCCAGAGCCGACCTTTGGATAGAGGAAAGGTAGGCCTCGTGGACCACCACCCGCACCTGCTGCATAGCATTCCGAAGTCCGGTATGCCTGCTGCATGGGGGTGCCTGTTAGGGAAAACAGTGGAATTAACCGCCCTTGCTTGGCAGCCGGAGGAAGCCAAGCCTTCCCTGAGGCGACCCGAAGTGAACTTCGCACTCGTCAACCACCGGCACAAAGAACAGAGAATCATCTCCTAGCTGGTGCCTCTTAACGAGTTCAGGTAAATCGAACCGGAGGCGTGATCCAACCAGGAGGGGATCCATCACATCCTGCACCAGGGAAGGCAAGATACGCAGCTGTGTCTGCAAGGGTTGCCTAGGGGCAAACGCCGCGCCCGGCAGACGGAACTCAGTTGAGTCCGAGCGACATGTGGGCACCGTGGCTTGGGGTATATACTCGGCAAAACGTTGCCTAACCTCCCGGAGAGCCGACAAGAAACGGAAAGCACCCTCCGACTCCTCGACCTCCCAAACATCCGTAGACTCGGCACACGAGCCCGAGTCAGAATTTGGGTCTCCTCGTAAAGAGGAGCCGAGCCACAGACGCCGCAGGAAGGGAAGAGCCGAAGGAACTCCCCGCTCTGGCAACCGACACAACACTCGAACCCCGGTCCCAAGACACGGGAGGAAGACCGGACAGAACCGGCTCCTCTGCACTCATGGGGCGGGGTGGCGCTGGGACCGGAACCCCAGGAATCTTCACTGGACCCTGCGCCAGCACCGAGAGGGGGACTGGGAGCGAACCATCCACCTCCGGGGTGGACGAGGCATCTGGACCCTTAGCCAAAAGCAAAGGATCAACAGTCGCCCTCCAGGCTAAGGGATTGAGCCAGGCTCGGCAATCCCACCCCCAGACTCTCGGTCCCCTGTTCAGAGTGGGCAAGAACTCCTGGCAGACACCTCCAACAGACCCATGAACAAGGGACTCCACGGAGAACATGTGCTGCTGAAACAATTGAGTGATTATTGACATATCAAAACCACTAGATTGCGATTGAGATTGGAAATGCGACTTATGCGACTTAGGTTTAGCTTGTTCAGCCTTTTTGGCTTTGGATGGGGGGGAACCTCCTGGGTGAGTTCCCCTCCCGCCTCTCGCAATTCCTTATAAAAAAGGAAGAAAAAGGGGAGAAAAGGCCAGACACAGGTTGCAGATTTCAGGGTTATGCCCCGCTTTCTCTAAACAGCACAAGCATTTGTCATGCCTATCTGCTCTCGGGATATGCTGCCTGCAGACAGTACACCCAGTAAACATCTGAAAGCAAACACGCAAGCATGTAGCTAACGGCGGAACACAGCAGCATAAATATACACGTACAAAACATTGAAAATTACATGAATGCGACCACGCGACATGAAATACTTGGTTAATAACACAATTTTTCAACCACGTGGCCCGGCTAAACTTCCCGCCATGGAATAGCAACACGTGCATAAACCACAGGAAAGCTAGCATAAAAATTCAATACAAAGTCACATAAATGAGAAATAACAGACTGCAAAGTCAATAAAACTGTTCTTTTTCTTTTTCAAGAACGAATAAAGACCATACATACAGTTGTTGAAGTCTCAGACATTCTTCACCAGAGAAGTAAATCAGCTTAGTAACTCGGAAAACGTGAGAACGCTTGAGTGACAGCAGAAGGAATGATGATACAGGCCTTGGTGCTTACCTGGTTGGCTGCACATGCGTAGCAGGGAGGTAACTCCACGTGGTGGGGGCCGTATAATAAATAAAAAAGATGTTATTGATTGTACAATATTTTTATTAAAACATTGATACAACTGTCACATGACATTTTCAGCCGCAGAAAATCTCAACCCCAAGGACAATCTATATGAAAAAGAATATGCTGTTTTCAATTTAATAACTGAGCTACAACAGAGATAATCTACTCAGATGTGACACTCCTCTGAGTGAGATCTGACCATCTACCATCTAATTGGCTAAACAATCCACACGTTCTTTAACTAGATTGGTCGTCTGGATCATTCATTTGATGGTATTGTTCACTTGATGCTATTCCTTGTAGAGTGTCCCCAAATCAATACGGGCGGTGGGGTAGCCTAGTGGTTAAAGTGTTCGCTTGACACACCGAAGACCCGGGTCTAATTCCCCACATATGTACAATGTGTGAACCCCATTTCTGGTGTCCCCCATCGTGAAATTGATGGAATATTGCTAAAAGCGGAGTAAAACTCACTCACTCAAATGGAAACAGCGAAGGATCTGATATTGGTATTGATGTTTTGTGAGTAGACAGTGGAACTGTGGGTTACCTCGTTCCTGATGGCAAATATAGGTAGGTACTTCCTCTGCTGAGAGATGGTGCGTCGTTGAGCGAACTCACTCACAGCCTCCGTCTTCTCCTGCATCAGGTCAGCAAACTTGTGATCCTGTTTGAAGTCTTTCTCCTCCGTCTCATCCTGGTGACAGACAAGTGAATGTTTACACCGGTCACGGCTTCATGCTCCCTTCACTGTCTAACACTCACGGTCACAGGCTTCATGCTCCCTTCACTGTCTAACACTCACCGTCACAGGCTTCATGCTCCATTCACAAGTCTAACACTCACCGGTCACAGGCTTCATGCTCCCTTCACTGTCTAACACTCACCGGTCACAGGCTTCATGCTCCCTTCACTGTCTAACACTCACCGGTCACAGGCTTCATGCTCCCTTCACTGTCTAACACTCACCGGTCACAGGCTTCATGCTCCCTTCACTGTCTAACACTCACGGTCACAGGCTTCATGCTCCATTCACTGTCTAACACTCACGGTCACAGGCTTCATGCTCCATTCACTGTCTAACACTCACCGGTCACAGGCTTCATGCTCCCTTCACTGTCTAACACTCACGGTCACAGGCTTCATGCTCCCTTCACTGTCTAACACTCACCGGTCACAGGCTTCATGCTCCATTCACTGTCTAACACTCACGGTCACAGGCTTCATGCTCCATTCACTGTCTAACACTCACCGTCACAGGCTTCATGCTCCCTTCACTGTCTAACACTCACCGGTCACAGGCTTCATGCTTCCTTCACTGTCTAACACTCACGGTCACAGGCTTCATGCTCCCTTCACTGTCTAACACTCACCGTCACAGGCTTCATGCTCCCTTCACTGTGACTAACACTCACCGTCACAGGCTTCCATGCTCCCTTCACTGTCTAACACTCACCGGTCACAGGCTTCATGCTCCCTTCACTGTCTAACACTCACCGTCACAGGCTTCATGCTCCCTTCACTATCTGTTTACTCACCGGTCACAGGCTTCATGCTCCCTTCACTGTCTAACACTCACGGCGGGTCACCGGCTTCATGCTCCCTTCACTGTCTGACACTCACCGTCACAGGCTTCATGCTCCCTTCACTGTCTAACACTCACCAGTCACGGGCTTCATGCTGACTTCACTGTCTAACACTCACCGTCACAGGCTTCATGCTCCCTTCACTGTCTAACACTCACCGGCACGGCTTCATGTCCCTCACTGAATCTAACACTCCGGGTCACAGGCTTCATGCTCCCTTCACTGTCTAACACTCACCAGTCACAGGCTTCATGCTCCCTTCACTGTCTAACACTCACCAGTCACAGGCTCCATGCTCCCTTCACTGTCTAACACTCACGGTCACAGGCTTCATGCTCCAAGTTCACTGTCTAACACTCACGGTCACAGGCTTCATGCTCCCTTCACTGTCTAACACTCACAGTCACCGGCTTCATGCCTCTTCACTGTCTAACACTCACCAGTCACAGGCTCATGCTCCCTTCACTGTCTAACACTCACGGGCTTCTGGTGTCAGTGTCATACATAGGAACAGAAGTTCTACCATGAAAATGTGAAACACCTTCATTCTGACTGGTGTCAAAACACTTCACCGCATGAACATGTGCAAACCAGTAGAACTCACTATTAGACACAACATGCCCGTGTTGGGCATGGTCAAAGATATCATACTTCATTGTGACAAAGTACTGTTATACTGAACCTTCCTTCCTATACTGACAACATTTCAAACTGGTATTTAAAACTCTTATGTGAAAAAGTAATTTAAGTCTATTTAAAAATGGTCTCTTCACGTTCAATGATCTACCTCCTCGAGACAGGGTGTAATTGCTGTATTCAGTAAAGTGACAGATCTGCCCCCCGAGACTGTGCCTACCTCCTCGAGACACGGTGTAATTGCTGTATTCAGTAAAGTGACAGATCTGCCCCCCGAGACTGTGCCTGCCTCGAGACACAGTGTAATTGCTGTATTCAGTAAAGTGGCAGATCTGCCCCCCGAGACTGTGCCTACCTCCTCGAGACAGGGTGTAATTGCTGTATTCAGTAAAGTGACAGATCTGCCCCCCGAGACTGTGCCTACCTCCTCCTCCTTCTTCTTGATTCCCATGATGTCCCCCATCCTGGTGCCAGCCAGCTCCCAGTGCTTCACCTGCGCCTTCCGACGCTCCTTCTGTTCTCGGTGAGCCCGCACTACCTGGCTGCCCTTTCGGGAGACCTGCGCCATGTCGGACGTAGGATCCTGAAGCAGTCATAGAAACAAATGCCATGGGAACACATGAAGCAGTGTGTATAAATAGTAACCATGGAAACACACGAAGCAGTGTGTATGCATAGTAACCGTGGAAACACACAAAGCAGTGTGTACAAACAGTAACCATGGAAACACACGAAGCAGTTTGTACAAACAGCAACCATGGAAACACACGAAGCAGTGCATACAAACAGTAACCATGCGAACACAAGAAGCAGTATGCACATACTGTAACCATGGGAACACACGAAGCAGAGTGTACGCATAGTAACCGTGGGAATACACAAGGCAATGTGTACAAATAGTAATCGTGGGAACACAAGAAGTAGTATGCACATATTGTAACCATGGGAACATACCAATCTCTGTACAAATAGTTACCATGGGAACACAAAAAGCATTGGGTATATACAGTAACCATGGGAACACACGAAGCACTGTGTACAAAAATGTAATCATGGGTACACACGAAGCAGTGTATACAACTAGTAACCATGGAAACACACGAAGCAGTGTGTACATACAGTAAGTTACCATGGAAACACACGAAGGAGTGTATACATTAGTAACCAGGGATGTCAAGATACATAAGTTTCATGAATCGATACGTATCACGATACCCATGTCACAATTTAATACGTATCGCGATACCTATTTAAATGTGTAAATTTAGTTATATTATGAACATTAATATTTCATATTTTATAATTGTCCATGAAAGGATCAACATTTTTTAATCTCAGACATCAAAAAGTTCTAAATTCCAATCTTTGTGCATGAAAAATAATCTTTTATAACTCTCATAACACAAAAAAACATGATACAATTGCAACTTGTAAACGATACATAAACATATATTTAAACCAATACTTTCAAAACTAAATATCGATACAGTTTTGAATGTATCTATAATTGTATCGTCTTTGAAAAATTATCAATCCTGGCATCCCTAATAGTAACCATGGAAACACGAAGCAGTATGCACATATTGTAACCATGGAAACACACAAAGCAGTGTATCCATATAGTAACCATGGAAACACATGAAGCAATGTATACAAATAGTAACCATGGAAACAGAAAAATACGAAGCAGTTTGTACATATAGTAACCATCGAAACACATGAAGCAGTGTGTACACAGAGTAACCATGGGAACACATAAAGCAGTGTTCAAACACCAAGGTGAAACTGAAGGCGCAGTGTACAGGACTGACTACAATGTTACTTGTTACCTTGACGGGGACGACGGGTTCAGGTTGTTTGGTGAACACTATACGGCCATCCAGGAACGGAGGGACTATATTATGAACCAACAAGTGTACACGTGCTACATTGTCTTCCTCAAAGTCCTCGTCGTAGTTGGTCTTGGCCACAACACCGCTACGCAGCATGCGATTGGTCTCCCACATCTCAATGTCCTGCAAAACATCCTCAGTTAATGACTTGCTCAGTATGACACTCACCTATCAAAAATGTAATTTTTAAAGTAAAATTGATATTTTATACTTATCCTGACACATGATCTTTTGCTTATCTCCCTTTCCTATGCGAATGGTAGTGGAACACTTGAATCCTTTGCAGTTAACAAAGCGGACGTAAAAGTACTCTCACCCACGAGTTACCTCCCTTTTCCCGCGTAAACAGTCATGTGACTAACCTTACTTGTCACTCTCTCCTGATTTTCAGCCCATGCAGGTTGGGAGGGCTTGACCTCATGAGTCAGGATAAGTATAAAAATGTATTTTTTTTATTAAAATTGATATTTTATACTTATCCTGACTCATGCTTAATTGCTTGTCTCCTTCTTCTTGTGAATGATAGTGGAACACTTGAATCCCCTTTTGAAGCTCCCTTAAAAAAGAGGACGTAAAATCACTCACCCAGTGTTATCTCCCATCTGTTTTGGCGGGAAACTGCGTCACATGACCCCCACATGTTGTCACTCTCTCCTTCTTCGCCCTAGAGCAACATCGTACATCTGGGATTGAGATGGGACTTCATAGCAAAGAACTGGCCGGTCAACCAGACAGACAGTTCCGCATCCCAGCACTCTCGTCAGTCCTTGGGCCACAGGATACTCAGGACCTATCCTTATGGGTTGGAAGCTCTTGGAGGTTCTAGTCCTGCTGCTTTATAGGCTCTCAATATGACGGCTCTCATCCAGAACGATATCGTCGTTCTTGAGACTTCTGCTGATGTCTCTGTAGATAACGGGATGAACAGGCGCTTGAATTTCTGTCTCCTTGTTTTAGTCTTTTGAAGATATATCTTCAGGGATCTGACCCGACACAAGGATAGGTCCTGCGTATCCTGTGGTCCGAGGATTGTGGATAGAGCTGGTACGTGGAACTGTCTATCTGGTCAACCAGGTAGTTGGTTCTTGGCAATAAAGTCCCATCTAAGTCCTAGATGTACTGCAGCATGTTGCCCCCTGTCGAATCTAGTTCGACCAAAGTCCAGCGTCATGTATCTCCAACATTCGAGCTGCCGTGGCTAGTGTAAGCAGGAATAGAGTCTTCTGTGTAAGCAGCTCGAAGGTAGTCTGATCTAGAGGTTTGTAGGCATCACTCATGAGATGACATAGAATTACATTCAGATCCCAGGCCGGAGCTCTGAATTTCTTTTGCTGGTCCTCCAGTTTAAAAGATCTCAGCAGAGCAACTGATGGCAGCCAGATACGTGGATAATGTCGAACCTTTCAGATGTCGAGCATGTCTAAGATGATATAGGTATTCCGCCACTTCAGGATGAGTAGCTATCATAGCAATGAAGCCTTTCCGCCTTGCATATGTCTCAAACTTCAGCCACTTGTCATCATACAGGTTACGAGTGGATCTGCGTAACACTAAGGTTACTGCCTTGGCTGCTCTGGCAGAGTATCCTCTTTACTTCAAACATGTTTTGATACGGTCCACACATGTAGCTGGAACAGTGTTGGGTTCCTTGGACTTGCTTCGTGTGCAGATGTATGAGTAGGTTCGGCCATTCTGTTAGCTTGAGTGTTGGACTTCCGAGATCTTCTATTAGGTCTAGGAACCATACTCTCGCTGGCCAATAGGGGGCGACCAAAGTCAGTTGTAGCGCCTGCGTCTGTTTGATCTTCAACAGTACTTTCGGTAGTAATATCGGGCATGGAAACGCGTAAGCGTTTAGTCCTTCCCATGATATGCTCAGTGCATCTGTTGCCCAGGCTTGAGGATCTGGAACTGGAGAGACAAACGTCTGTGGCAAACAGGTCTATGCATGGGGATCCTATTTCCCTTATGATGAGCCGGAATGCTTCTGGATGGAGCATCCATTCTGTAGGTGACGGGTGCAGTGGTCGGGAGAGAGCGTCTGCAAGTACGTTCTTGGCTCCGGGTATGTGACACGCCTGTATCCAGATGTTTGCTTCCTCCGTGATGTGGAACAACTGGAATGTGAGCTGTAGAAGGCAAGGTGACCTTGTATATCCTTGCCAATTTATGGAGAATGCCACTGTAGAGTTGTCCGTGTGGACCATCAGCAGTTGATCAGCGAGCTCGACCATAGTTGTAAGGCATTGATCACGGCTTTCATCTCCAGCAGATTGATGTTAAGATGCTGCTCTGTTTTGGACCACTTCCCCTGATGCAACTTGATTGTTGAGATGTGCACCCCAACCTTGTATGGATGCGTCTATGTAGAGATGTGTGTCGAAAGCCGGCTCTTGTAAATAGGTCCCTCCGCAGACGTTCGACCTGTGAGTAGTAGGTACCTCTTGAGATTGTCTGGCAGCAAGATAGGGTCGACGCTGTCAAGATGTTTTGTCAGAAACCATTGCAGCGGCCTTAGTTGTAACCTTCCTGTGAGAGTCAAGTCCTGCGCCGAGGTTAGTAGACCGAGTAGACATTGCCATGTTCGTAGTGTTAACAGAGAGATGACTGCTTGTGGAATCATGGCTTGTATTTTGACCCAACAATCTTCTGGGACCACAATTCTATTCTGTGTTGTGATAATTCTTATTCCCAACAATTGAGGATCTTGTTTTGATTCTAACTCCAACTTCATCAGGTTTACTAGCCATCCTAGTTGCGTGAGCAACTTGCTTGTGAAGTTCAGCTGCTGTCTGAGTTGATTGGCACTTTGAAGAACCTGTATGCCGTCGTGGAGATAACCGGCACTGTGTAGACCTCGATGATGCAGATAGGTGCCGTATGAATAACCATAGAGCCAACCTCTGTGCTAACCTCTGCTTGCAGTGATGATACATCATTCTTCCCCTTATATACGCAGGCGATCTGTGTTGATCAGCATACATCAAAGCGTTGTCTATTAATAGCAAGGCTGGCTCCAGTGTAGTATCGCAGGGGACAGGTAATTCATAGCGACTTTTATCAGCAACAACTTCCAAGATAAACATCGTTTATCCTGCTGTCAAGGCTAGACATCTATTAGATTCCCATGATGATAACAGGCCGTAGTTGCATACTGTTTGCAAGGCTGCAGATGAAGTATGCCCCCGTACAACGAGTTTGTTTACAAGTCAGCTGGCGCCTGCTCTGTCAGTAGGAGGCGTTGTCTGACGTGGACCAATCAGCTTCCAAGCATGACGTCACCGGTGTTGTAGCAAGTCGGCCCCCATAAAATCTGGTGCAATAGTTGGTTGAGTAAAAGCGAGCGTAATTCAACGCCGCTCACATAAACCTCTTGAATAAGGGTTCCTCCAAGTATAAAATCTTGTTCAGTGATATTAATCATGTATTCCCATTGTGGATAATATAAGCCAACATGACAAAGGAGGCTGTCGAGACGTATGTCTGTATGGATCTTGAAGAAATACCGATGTTGAAATCTAGTTGATAGGATATAAAATTTTCTACCCAGGATAAAATCTCTGCATCCGTGTAGATGAAGGGATTCCTCTCATCAAGTAGGTTGTCGTCAGAAACTGAACCTACTACAGGTGTAAGGTTCGTGCAGGTTGTAGAGTTGTGCAGGCTGTAAACTGTAGAGATCACACATGTTGTTGATCTTTTCTGTTTTAATCATTGCTTCGTTTTATTCAGCCGTATGGTTATTGAGTCCTGCCTGTTGATTTAAGGGTTTGTTAACCCTAGTTCAATCCATTGGCTATCCAAGCTGTAACCTCTGACTCCGGGAAGACGAAGTCGGCTTGCTCATCAGATATATCTCAGTCCGTAGAACTATGCCTCCGTGAATCATCCTTCTGCGAACCTGTATCCCTAGAGTCATCCCTTCTCGAACCTCCATCTCTTGCATCATCCTTCTGCAAACCTCTATCTCCAGATTCCTCCCTTCGTGAACGTCTATCTTGTGAGTCCTCCCTTCGCCAACCTCTGTCTTTAGATACAACTCTTCGCGAACCTCTGTCTCATGAATCCTCTCTTCGCGAACATCTATCTCGAGATCCATCCCGACGAGTTGAATCCTGCCTCCGCAAACTTGGTTCTCGTGAACGTCTGTGAGAGAAGTGTGATCTCGATCTAGAGCAGCTTGGTCTCTCGAACGTTGAGGATTCGCAGATGTAGATCTCGAAGTATAAGTAGACTTCGCATGCCTTCCATCTTCATCCATGATGACAGAGTCGTCAGACTGTGGAGACCTTCGTGAAGGTATACGTTCGCTAACGTAGTCTTGAGACGTAGATCTATGAGAAGTAGTAGGTTTGCGCAGGTCCGAAGGTTCGCGCACGTTGTCAGCAGATGAGAGGTTTCGTCGAGCCTTCGCCTCTTCCTCGAACCTACCTTCCATCATGGCCATCATCTGGTTAGTTTAGTGAATTGCCTCATGAATTCACCAGGATCAAAGTTCTGTGTTGATTGCAGCTGCTGCGGTGTATATAAAGCGTTCGCGAACACTGAGGTGATGTGTGCTTCAACTCCACTACATTGAGAAGTTGGTGTTTGATCGTCAACAGCTGGCCAGCTGTTGTAGTTGCAGGAGACGATCTAGTAGTCGTGGAGGTCGACTGTGTCGCCGATCTAGTAGGTCTGATAGGTACTTCAGGCAGAAGCATCGGTGGTTCATCAAACACATCTGCTTCATGAGGTAGGATGATCTCCTCATTAACCGACCTCTGATGAGTTGACTTGCTTGGTCGCGTTGATATCGACGCTGATCTAGTTATAGATGCCCTTTTCTTCGACCCCATAACAGACGACTGCCCCTGCAACGTACTCGACATAGCACCAGAATTATGTATATCTGCAGTAGCAAACAACCTATGGTTACCGGCTTGAACTCCAGGTTTATCAACTGTGACTTGTGATGACTTCCTCACCCGATCCATCGCATGTCTATAGATAGAAGACAAATATTGATTAAATTGTAAATTTGATGAACCAATGCAATATGTACAACGCAAGGTGGAAGAACATGGCTTAATGCATGACGGGCATTGGGGTTGAGGATCAGCCACTGATAGTCGGTACCTGCAAACACTGAAAGATCAGAAATGTAAACAAGTTACATTACGATGAAAATATGTCACAAAATACAAATCATTTCTTCAAAATTTCACATATAATACAAGGTAGTTATAGCCAAATACCATACATAGCGTAATTTCGATAAATAGGATCTAGATATAAAGGATATATGCCGTATACGTGACTCCAGTGCTCACCCAACCATTTGCTTGGGCTAAAAGTGAGAGAGTAACAAGTAAGGTTAGTCACATGACTGTTTACATGGGAAAAGCAGGTGTGAGTATACTCAAGTGTTACGTCCGCTTTGGGAACTTCAAAGATTCAAGTGTTCCACTACCATGCGCATAGGAAAGGGAGATAAGCAAAGACCATGAGTCAGGAGGAGGTACCAGTATATCGGTGTCGAAAAGAGCACCTGTGCTTGTCCACCTCTCTGGCTTCAGGGTACCAGTATATCGGTGTCGAAAAGAGCACCTGTGCTTGTCCACCTCTCTGGCTTCAGGTCATTCTATACATCTATAGACCGGGAGGTACCAGTATATCGGTGTCGAAAAGAGCACCTGTGCTTGTCCACCTCTCTGGCTTATATACATCCGGGAGGTACCAGTATATCGGTGTCGAAAAGAGCACCTGTGCTTGTCCACCTCTCTGGCTTCAGGTCATTCCCCAAATAGAAAACAATTGGATTTGGCTGAACCATTACTGGAATTTTTCTCTTGATTCATTTTGTCATTGTGAGTCATTTGATAATCCTGTCAGGAAACACTATGACATGGCAGGAAAACTCTACACAAACATGATGTTTCTCAGATGAGAGTAGCTTCCTTTCGTTTCAGTGATGGAATCCTGCAAAACTTGAAATATTATCTTTCGTCCATAAAACAGACTGTCACTATACACCACTGACATGAATAAAAGAATCGGTTTGAACTATACTGTCTGTTGTCAGTGTGCTATTGAAAAGGCACTGAGATGGTATATGGTTCTTCAAACTCTGAAGCATGTGCTTGCCCTATTGATCTGACCCTGACAGTCTAAACCCTGACAGTCTGAAGCTAAAGTGCTTGCTCTACTGATCTGACCCTGACAGTCTGAAAAATGTGCTTTCTCTATTGATCTGACTCTGACAGTTTGAAGCATGTGCTTGCTCTATTGATCTGACCCTGAAGGTCTGAAGTATGTGCTTTCTCTATTGATCTGACTCTGACAGTCTGAAGCATGTGCTTACCTTATTGATCTGTCTCTGCCGATTGAGACATGCAGCATGTGCTTCTATTTTCCTCTGTTCCATCTCTTCTATTCCTTCTTCTTGAAGTATGCTCTATTGATCTGACCCTGCAGTTTGAAGTGCCATTGAGACTCCTGGGTTGTATGCTTTCATCATCATACCCCTCGTCCATGCCCTTATTGATCACTCTGCGGTCCAGACAGCCGCTTCTTTTCCTCCTCCTCCCACTCTTCCTGTACTCTGTTCATCCCTGAACTCTATGTCTTGCTTGCCTAATCCAACATTCACAATAAACTCAGGGTTATTGACAGGGGTACGATCGAGTGAGTGAGTGAGTGAGTGAGTCAGACAATGACATCCCAACAACCCGCTGGCTGTACAACGCTACATTGAATGAAATATGAAGCAAGATAACAAATTTCCTGGCTAGCTACTGAGTTACTGCTATCCCCCCTTCCTCCAACATTTTGAGCGACTGAGTTGTGTTGTTATTTATGGTATGTCTGGGAGTAAAGCACAAAGTGATGCAGGTCTCAGATGCTGGCGATTAGACATACTGGTGTCAAAGTTAACTTCTCTAACAAGTTTCCATTGACAGGTGGTCGGATGGACGGATGGAAGGTCTGTGCTAACAGGTACCATCATCATCATCATCATCTTTTGTAAACGAGATGCTTATAATGCATCATATTTCAATCAAATCTTCCTAACAAGACTGACTACTGTGAAGGCATTACCTCCTTTGGAATCTTTAGGAGTAAACTGTATTCTCTTCTTGTCATCCATCCACTCGTTATACTTGTAAGTGGGCGTGGCTCTGGGAGTGTCATCTATGTTCTTCCTCGTCTTTCTGCCAACAAGATATTTCAACTTTCATCCAATATCCAGTCATGAAGGAAACAATTCAATGTCAAATTCCTGTTCTCATGGTTAAGACTGACTTCCTGCAAGTGTTCACAGGAACATCTGAATGCATCACAATACTTCAGCAGGAACAGATGACACTTGACTGCCTTCATCACATGCAAAGGGTGCTCCATACAATACAAGTTTCAGCATCTTATTGAGCCTGTTGTATCTAGCTTTGTTGTCTGTTGGTTTCTCACCTAGTTCTCTTATGGACTTATTAGTTTCAGGTACATACCGTTTATCTGAACGTTCTGATCGATGACCTTGACTCCTCTCAGACCTGTCCCAGTTTCGACCCCTCTCAGACCTGTCCCAGTCTCGACCCCTCTCAGACCTGTCCCAGTCTCGACCCCTCTCAGACCTGTCCCAGTCTCGACCCCTCTCAGACCTGTCCCAGTCTCGACCCCTCTCAGACCTGTCCCAGTCTCGACCCCTCTCAGACCGGTCCCAGTCTCGACCCCTCTCAGACCTGTCCCAGTCTCGACTTGACCTGAAGCTCCTCTCACTGGAATCTCGGCCCAGTTCTGACTGAGAAGGTGTAGGGAGATCCCATGCTGACCTCTTCAAGGGGGTGACATCATCATCATCCCAGTTTGACCTCGACGGAGTGTCTGCATGGGACACATGGCATGAACACGGAGCATGGAATACACAGTAGGGGATACGTAGCATGAACACATAGTAGGGGATACATAGCATGAACACACAGTAGGGGATACGTAGCATGAACACACAGTAGTAGCATGAACACACAGTAGGGGATAATGCATGGAATACACAGTAGGGGATACGTAGCATGAACACACAGTAGGGTATAATGACGTAGCATGGAACACACAGTAGGGGATACAGAGCATGAACACACAGTAGGATATCATGAGCATGGAACACACAGTAGGGGATACATTAGCATGAACACACAGTAGGGGATAATGTAGCATGAACACACAGTAGGGGATACAGAGCATGAACACACAGTAGGGGATACATGAGCATGAACACACAGTAGGGGATCGAGCATGAGCATGAGGGGACACAGCAGAACACATACTGGGCTGGAACACACAGTAGGGGATACAGAGCATGAACACACAGTAGGGGATCATGGAGCAGGTGAACACACAGTAGGGGATACAGAGCATGAACACACAGTAGGGGATACAGAGCATGAACACACAGTAGGGGATGAGCACAATGGGGCATGGAATACACAGTAGGGGATCATGAGCATGAACACACAGTAGGGGATAATGAGCATGAACACACAGTAGGGGATACAGAGCATGAACACACAGTAGGGGATACGTAGCATGAACACACAGTAGGGGATACGTAGCATGAACACAGTAGGGGATACAGAGCATGAACACACAGTAGGGGATACAGAGCATGAACACACAGTAGGGGATACAGAGCATGAACACACAGTAGGGGATACAGAGCATGAACACACAGTAGGGGATACAGAGCATGAACACACAGTAGGGGATACGTAGCATGAACACACAGTAGGGATACAGAGCATGAACACACAGTAGGGGATACAGAGCATGAACACACAGTAGGGGATATGAGCATGAGCATGAACACACAGTAGGGGATACAGAGCATGAACACACAGTAGGGATACGGAGCATGAACACACAGTAGGGGATACAGAGCATGAACACACAGTAGGGGATGAACACACAGTAGGGGCATAGACACAGTAGAACACACAGTAGGGAATACAGAGCATGAACACACAGTAGGGGATAGCATGAACACACAGTAGCATGAACACACAGTAGTAGGGATACAGAGCATGAACACACAGTAGGGGACACAGAGCATGAACACACAGTAGGGGATACAGAGCATGAACACAGTAGTAGGGATACAGAGCATGAACACACAGTAGAGGAACACACAGAGCATGAACACACAGTAGGGGGATGGAGCATGAACACAGGGTAGGGGATACAGAGCATGAACACAGTAGGGGATACAGAGCATGAACACAAAGTAAAGGGAATACAGAGCATGAACACACAGTAGGGGATACAGAGCATGAACACAACAGGCAGTTGGGAATACAGAGCATGAACACAGTAGGGGATACAGAGCATGAACACACAGATAAGTAGCAAGGACATACAGAGCATGAACACACAGTAGGGGATACAGAGCATGAACACACAGTAGGGGATATACAGAGCATGAACACACAGTGGACACACACACAGTAGGGAATGAACACACAGTAGCATGAACACACAGTAGGGGATACAGAGCATGAACACACAGTAGGAGCATGAACACAGTAGATACAGAGCATGAACACACAGTAGGGGATCGTAGCATGAACACACAGTAGGGGGATACAGAGCATGAACACAGTAGGGGGATCATGGAGCATGAACACACAGTAAAGGAATACAGAGCATGAACACACAGTAAAGGAATACAGAGCATGAACACACAGTAGGGGATACGTAGCATGAACACACAGTAGGGGATACGTAGCATGAACACACAGTAGGGGATACAGAGCATGAACACACAGTAGGGGATACGTAGCATGAACACACAGTAGGGGATACAGAGCATGAACACACAGTAGGGGGGACATGAACACACAGTAGCATGAACACACAGTAGGGGATCACACAGCATGGAATACACAGTAGGGGATACAGAGCATGAACACACAGTAGGGGATACAGAGCATGAACACACAGTAGGGATACAGAGCATGAACACACAGTAGGGGATACGTGAGCATGAACACACAGTAGGATCACATAGCATGAACACACAGTGGACACACAGTATGACACACATGGGGACAGAGCATGAACACACAGTAGGGGATGCATTAGCATGAACACACAGTAGGGGATCATTAGCATGAACACACAGTAGGGGATACAGAGCATGAACACAGTAGGGGATACGGAGCATGAACACACAGTAGGGAATACAGAGCATGAACACACAGTAGGGGATACGTAGCATGAACACACAGTAGGGGATACGTAGCATGAACACACAGTAGGGGATACGTAGCATGAACACACAGTAGGGGATACAGAGCATGAACACACAGTAGGGGATATGGAGCATGAACACACAGTAGGGAATACAGAGCATGAACACAGTAGGGGATCACAGAGCATGAACACACAGTAAGGGAATACAGAGCATGACACACAGTAGGGGATACAGAGCATGAACACACAGTAGGGGATCTGGAGCATGAACACACAGTAGGGGATACATGGAGCATGAACACACAGTAGGGGATACAGAGCATGAACACACAGTAGGGATACAGAGCATGAACACAAAGTAAAAGGGAATACAGAGCATGACACACACACAGTAGGGGGATACAGAGCATGAACACAGTAGGGGATACAGAGCATGAACTCAGTAGGGGTTACAGAGCATGAACACACAGTAAAGGAATACAGAGCATGAACACACAGTAGGGGATACAGAGCATGAACAAAGGGCAGGGAATACAGAGCATGAACTCAGTAGGGGTTACAGAGCATGAACACACAGTAAAGGAATACAGAGCATGAACACACAGTAGGGGATACAGAGCATGAACATGGTGCATGGAACACAAAACATTTCACACAGAACATGCATCACAGATTGGTGTGGCAATCCTTCATGGTCCCTGCTGCTGTAATTTGCTTACCTTTAACCCGTATATCTGGTGTGGCAATGTCATCCTTGTTTCTGTAGCTGTGCTCCGGCGTCTCCTCCCAGTCCCTATAGCTTGGACCTCTCCTCTCAGAGTCATCATGCTTTCTGGAACTCCTGTCACTGTGGCGGTCTCGTCTATCTGAAGATTGGACACACACATAAACATATTTTCAATCAAATATAGCCAGACCTGTAGAGGTTTTCAATTCTTTGAAGATAATATTCCTTGGGGAACATATATGCATTTTCTGCAACTGAAAATGTCCTGTGACAGTTGCAGCAATATTTTAATAACAATATTGTACAAATTAAATACCTCCCTCATCATGCATGCGCAGCCAGACAGGTACATCCCTACCTCCAAATCATGATTCTTACACTTACCTGGTCATGTTATGTGCGGCTTGAAGTGAGGCATGCCAGGAGGTGACCTGTAAGGGGTGATTCGGACACAGAGAACACATAAAAGCATTCAGATATCCCCCCCCCTCCCTCCCACATATATATAAAGATAACATAAGGTACACATATACAGTCAGATCCGACCAAACCAGACAGGGAGGTAAGGTTGTATGATTGTAATGTTTTGAGCCTTCAGTGGAATGTCAATAATACCCATCGACCACAGAACCAATGCCAATGACGAGACTCACACAGTCTGGGTGGCAGGACACTCTCACTGAGAGACTGAACCAAGCGTGATGCTTAGAATGCGTGTTGAGTTGGTAGTGGCAAATGAAGGTGCTCGGCTGGCTCCAAATAGTGGCAGGACAGATCTCTTCAATGTGCAGAGCCGAATGAGCTTTCAACCCCACAGGGGGAAGCTTACCTTTAGCAGCGTAAGCGACACAAATAACTGACACAAGCCAATGTGAAATAGTTTGTTACTTACAGGAACCCCAGCCTTCCTGCCACCAGAGCAGCAAAACAACTGGGTACCCGTACGGATTCCCTGTGGTCGTTTAATATAGACCTTACGGAGGACATCCAACGGTGAGCACACATAGGAATGGTCCCCGATGTGGAAGGCTGAGTAAGAGTAGGACATTCAATAGGAGCTGTCACATGGAAAGCATGATCAATCTTAGGGTGGTAACTGTCCAGATAGGAGCTGTCACATGGAAAGCATGATCAATCTTAGGCTGGTAACTATCCAGATAGGAGCTGTCACATGGAAAGCATGATCAATCTTAGGCTGGTAACTGTCCAGATAGGAGCTGTCACATGGAAAGCATGATCAATCTTAGGCTGGTAACTGTCCAGATAGGAGCTGTCACATGGAAAGCATGATCAATCTTAGGCTGGTAACTATCCAGATAGGAGCTGTCACATGGAAAGCATGATCGATCTTAGGCTGGTAACTGTCCAGATAGGAGCTGTCACATGGAAAGCATGATCGATCTTAAGCTGGTAACTATCCAGATAGGAGCTGTCACATGGAAAGCATGATCAATCTTAGGCTGGTAACTATCCAGATAGGAGCTGTCACATGGAAAGCATGATCAATCTTAGGCTGGTAACTATCCAGATAGGAGCTGTCACATGGAAAGCATGATCGATCTTAGGCTGGTAACTATCCAGATAGGAGCTGTCACATGGAAAGCATGATCAATCTTAGGCTGGTAACTGTCCAGATAGGAGCTGTCACATGGAAAGCATGATCAATCTTAGGCTGGTAACTATCCAGATAGGAGCTGTCACATGGAAAGCATGATCAATCTTAGGCTGGTAACTATCCAGATAGGAGCTGTCACATGGAAAGCATGATCAATCTTAGGCTGGTAACTATCCAGATAGGAGCTGTCACATGGAAAGCATGATGATGATCTTAGGCTGGTAACTATCCAGATAGGAGCTGTCACATGGAAAGCATGATCAATCTTAGGCTGGTAACTATCCAGATAGGAGCTGTCACATGGAAAGCATGATCAATCTTAGGCTGGTAACTATCCAGATAGGAGCTGTCACATGGAAAGCATGATCAATCTTAGGCTGGTAACTATCCAGATAGGAGCTGTCACATGGAAAGCATGATCAATCTTAGGCTGGTAACTATCCAGATAGGAGCTGTCACATGGAAAGCATGATCAATCTTAGGCTGGTAACTGTCCAGATAGGAGCTGTCACATGGAAAGCATGATCAATCTTAGGCTGGTAACTATCCAGATAGGAGCTGTCACATGGAAAGCATGATCAATCTTAGGCTGGTAACTATCCAGATAGGAGCTGTCACATGGAAAGCATGATCAATCTTAGGCTGGTAACTGTCCAGATAGGAGCTGTCACATGGAAAGCATGATTGATCTTAGGCTGGTAACTATCCAGATAGGAGCTGTCACATGGAAAGCATGATCAATCTTAGGCTGGCAACTATCCAGAAGGCGAATAGTAACATAATCAGCATGAAAAAACATCAGTATGAAACATAGCATGAATATCCCCAACCCTTCTACGGCAGGTCACCGCCACAAGAAAATCTGTTTTCCATGTCAACAACTGAATGGAAAGATCTGATAGACGTGAGAAAGCAGGACCGGAAAGTCAATCGAGTACGATTGACAAATCCTAAGGTGGGCTGGTTCACCTAAGAGCAGGTCAAACCCGATCCATGTCAGCTAAGAAGTGCTGTACAAGAAGGTGTTGCCCCAAAAGAGCACCATTGACAGGCTGCCAAACCCTCTTCCAAATGGGACTGAAGGAACTCCAAACCTGGACTAAAAATCTGCAGAAAAGGGATTTGCAATCCCCCTATCTGCACACCAGTGCGCATAGCGGGTTCACCTATCCTCATACTGAACGTTTGTCGAATCCCGTCTCGAAGCCAGAATTGTGTCTGCAACTGCTGCAGGAATTCCGCGTGCTTTGAGGTTAGACCTGACAGAGGCCAAGCCAACCATTGAATCTGTGGATTTGCGTTTGGCATGCCGTTCTGAGTGATAATGTCCAGCCGTAAAGGTAATAGCACAGGAGGCTGAGCCAGAAACCTGAGAATGACTAGAAACCAGCTCCGAGATGGCCAAAGAGGTGCCAGCAGCACAAGCAGCCGAGGTGGCTGGGTGGACAGCTGGGAGAGGACCCTGGGAATCAGCGGTAAGAGGTAGGAACGCCACAGTACCCAGTCTGTCCAAACCAGCAGGAAGATGTCGGAAGCCAACGCCCACTGGTTCAGTATCCAAGATCAGAACACTGTATCCGATTCGTCCAGCCAGACGCGAACAGATCCACCTGGAACGACCCGTACAACTGGGAAATAACCCTGAATATTCTCTAATCGAGCATCCACTAGTGCGGGGCCAGAATCATGAGAAGCTAATTGATACTCTGAAGCAAGTGATTGGGATTGATGGAGTAGCCCTGCAATGGTTTACATCATTCCTATCCAACCGATACCAAGCTGTTGTTGTCCAGAATGGTAGCTCAAGTAAGTCATTTCTCAAGTTTGGAGTGCCACAAGGATCTGTCCTTGGGCCTATTTTATTCATGTTATACACATCTGTCCTTGGAAATCTAATCTCCATCATGAATGTGGGCCATCACAGTTACGTTGATGATACTCAGTTGATGAAAGCATTCTTTCCAAAGGATTCTAGGTCTGCAGTTGATCAGATTAAGATTCAGTGTTGGATGGATGTTAACATGCTGAAACTCAACACTGCTAAAACAGAAGCCATGTTAGTCGGGACTTGTAAGAACAGGAAGACAGCAAATATATCAACAATATGTGTTGGAGATTCTCACGTCCAGGTATCAGACTGTGTCAGGAACCTGGGCGTCCTTCTCGACTGTGATCTCTCAATGGAGCATCATGTTAGTATGATCTGCAAACAATGACATTTTCACCTGAGAAATATTGGCAGTATCAGACATCTCCTGACCACTAACGCTGCTCACATGCTGGTCAGAAGCTTAGTCCTATCAAACTGGACTACTGTAATAGTCTGTTGGTTAACATCTCACAGGAACAGTTCTCCAGACTACAGAGGATACAGAACATGGAGGCAAGGATTGTGTCCAGGACAAAGAAGTCCGAGCGCACATAACACCTGTGCTCATCAATTTACATTGGCTCCCTGTACAGGCACATGTGCAGTTCAAGCTATTGGTATTGGCATACCAATGTTACCATGGATCAGCTCCATCATATCTTGTCGAACTCACACAAGTGTATAAACAGTCCAGAGTCCTTCTTTCTGCAGACCAGCATCTCTGTCACATTCCAAAGACTAACTAGAAACGATTTGGCCAAGATCTTTCAATATAATGCTGCAGTTCAATTGAACAAACTCTCAACTGAACTCAAAACACTCTCGATTTTCAAGTCTCAGCTAAAAACATATCTCTTCCGACAGTCAGAGACCTGGACTAAAATCTACTGCCTTGTGTTTATGTCCCATTGACAGAGTTAATATTGTAGTATATGTGTAGTGCTATGAGCATACACATAGTGAATGTATTTGGCGCCATATAAATGAACTCATTTTATTATTATTAATCTGGTGAAAGAGCGCATATCCTTGCACGTTTTTCAATCTCGGGAGATATACCGGGATCACCTGACAATCGTACTTGTTGCACCAGAGTAGGAACTCCCACTTCTCCCGAGGAAGCACTGGAGACACCTTGCTTCAGGATATACGTCATGGCCGTGCGTTTTTCTACCTGCAGACGCCCCCGGACATGCTCCTTGAAGCTCTCGAATACCAACCAGACTGCTCTCAGTTCTAACACATTGATCTGAAGAAGCACTTTGGACTCAGACCAGCGTGCAGAAACTGACAGACTACCCAGAACACACACGCCCCCAGCCGGTGAGGGATGCATTGCTCTGAAGTATATGCTTCCACACCTCCCGCAAGGCCGAAGCAAAGTGGAAAGAGCACTCAGAGCCCTCCACATCTCAGAGCTCAATCAACTCAGGGTCCGAACAGGAGTCTGTGTCCAAGTCCTCTTGTACACAGGACCCGACAATACACCCAGCTGAATACCGTGCCGAGGTAGTCAGGGGAAAACAGGACTCCAAAAGGCTCCCCTCTCCGGAAACAGCATACACGATAGAAATCCAGTCCCGAGACTCAGGAGCATGCACTGGTGGAACAGTGGGCTCCAAGTTCAAGGGTGCCCGAGGAACCAACGTATCCG